CTACTCGGGAGGCTGAGACAGGAGAATGGCGTGAACCAGGGAGGCAGAGCTTGCAGTGAGCCGAGATCGTGCCACTGCACTCCAGCCTGGGCGACAGAGCGAGACTCTGTCTCAAAAAAAAAAAAAAAAAAAAAGAAAGGTAAATTTTAGAGTTACTTGGGTCAGAAGACTTCATAATGGACTTGGGGACCATCAACACAGATCATGCCAGCCACCTGCCTAATCCATATGCACAGGGGCACAGCCTAGCATTTCAAGTTAGTCTTCAGTGGGACAAGTGTATTGGGTGGACTTCCACCAGCTCCAAGGCCTTCTTAGAAAGATCAGCAGATGAGTCTTTGGGTATGTTTAGAATAAAAAGACAAAGAAAAGAGACAACTAAGTCCACTGTTCACCAGATTGATAATAAAACTGCTAGGAGACTGTTAGATGCTCTGCTGTCTCCTGCTGCTTCTCAGTGTTTGGACAGAAACACCACCAGTTGAAGTATGGTGCTGTGTATGGCAAAGGAGGAAGCTTACAAAAGGCTCTCAGGAGTGTGTATGAGCTTGTTGAGGTCCGTGTGCAAGAGGGAAAGGATTATGCACCAAACACTTAGCACAGAGCTAGTGCTCTGGTCACATGACAAAGAAACATGGGAGAGTAACAATGGATTGAGGGTTCGAGGGTGACCCCAAGAGATGCTGAGGCACGGACCACGAGGAAAAATAAACCCCAAATGGCAGCTGCTAAGCAGTGACAAGGTCAACGTGGTAAATTTAAAATTTTCACAGAAGCAGATGAACATATCCTTATCTGCAGGTCCTAGAGAGACAGGCACTGCCAGCACAAAAGGGGAAACTTCCCCACAGGTCTTTAGAATTTTTAAAGTGCTTTCACACTGTTTATTTTATTTATCACCGAGCAGTCCTGTTTTACAGTTGAGAAGTGGATTGCCTGAGGTTTGACTAGTCTAACTCATTTGACTAGTAAGTAGCAAAGCCAGTTCTTGAACAACCTTGGTGTTCTGATTTGAAGTTCAGTGTTGTCTCCATTATGTTAAGCGCCCTTCTACACATCATGTTCTAGTTAGCTCCAAGCAATTAACCCCTGTAAGCTAAGAGCAGTGGCTTGATATAGATCTCTCCTCAACCTACAGATCCTTCTGTCTCTACCTGGTGACAGACAAGACCTATGGGTAGATGGAGAAGGGCATCCCTGAACTTGTCCATCTTGATGTTTCATCTGCAACTTTTTTTTCCTACGAACCCTCATAGACCCTAAACTGATTGGAGTATGATAGCTCAGTATTTGAGATCAGGAAGTACTGGTCCTTTTACTGTTTCCTGCTTTGGTTAAAACCCTCCAATGGTTCCCATTTGAAAGGCACTCTAACATCACAAATAAGAGCATAGGTTTCAGAGTCAGGTACATTTAGGTCTGAATCCCAGCACATTAACTGCCTTAACTTTGAACCTCTGCTTCTTCATCTGTAAATGGGGATTCAAAAATAATATTTTGGTCCTATGAGCATTAAACAAGGTAAAATGTATTTAATGTCTGCTATAGTGCCAAGCACTTAGTAATTGTATAATGATAGTTATTATTTCCTACCAAATAATAGTCCAGACACATTAGTGAGACACTCGAGGCTCCTCACAGCATGACCCCTCCATCTACCTTTCACTCCTGCAAGCCTGGCCATTGCCTGAGGCAAGAGATTCCTTCAGATCCCTGAGCTATTCTCTGCTGAGCTCATGGGGGTGGGCAGAAGGCCATGGCACTTAAAGGACAGAAGGGTTCTTTAGAACCTGATGTCCCTGCTCTGCCCTCATGGGAGGAGAGTCAGTTCCTGGCAGAAATCAACTTGAGAGCATGTCCTTTGAGAAGAGGGGACCTGGGAGGTGAAGAGCAAGATTACATTGAATGCTGAGTGATTACACATGAAAGATCTGGAGGGCAACTTGACAATTGAGCTGGAAAATTCTCATCTTTTACTGATGAAACAAGAAAAAAATGTGTCATTTTTTTCTCCTGGAGAGCAGCCAGGAACCTACCAAATAAATAGAAAATAAATGGTAAAATGGGTGGCCCAACTGAGTCCCAATTAAAGTGAGATCAGTGCATCCTAGTGTGTGGAATTGTCCTTAGATTTTAACATTAGAGTCAATTTTTGAACCTGATAGAAATTTAATTAGGCAGTGTAAAAACATCGGATGATAATTTAGTAGCAGAGACTAGCAAAGTATTACCGAACAATTACATTTAAATGATTTGTAAAATGCACGTGAATTATTTCCAAAACAATGTGCCTCAATTAAGGTACTTGAAGAGCTCATCCTTTTAGTTTAGTGAAATGTCTTCCTTGCGATCTTGTTGGCTTTGATAATGGCTTAAATCACTCTTGTATGTGTGGATTTGGGAGCAGTACTTTGGCCTAGTCCCTGTGTAAATTATATTTTAACTAATGGGGACTAAATTGTTGAGGCTTTTCTTGACTCCAGGGCCTTTGTTATTCAGTACTCTTTTCATTTCAAATGGCAATTTTTAAATCAGTTAAATCTTGCCCCTGGTAACAAAACTGAGGATGAAAGCATAGTTTTCTGCAGCTATTCCAATTTATGGCTTTTCAATGGCTCCTCTGCAGTAAGAGACCTGATGAAAGATGTGTAGAGCAATGACTAATTTTTTTTTTATTTTACTTTTGGCCTGTGTGTGATTGCTGTCCCTGGCTCAGACCTGTGGGAGTTAGGATGGGACAAATAGCCCCACCCAGTGGTTTGGCAGCCACACTCAGCTGTTAAGATTAGAGTGTACCATTAAGGAACCTGTTTTCCAAAACAAGGGACAGTGGTGAGTTTGCATTATGCCATGCATTATATGATCTATGTGGTAATATAATGAATTATACCATGACGTTTTACTAGGATTCTGGGGGGGAAATTAATTCAAGAGAGCAAATTATATCCTTTATCCAGGTATGTCGGAAGAGCAGAAAATATTGGGGCCTCCCGCAAAAGATGCGTGTCTATGAGCATGACCTCTGAGAACCTTTTCAGATGCTGCAGGATAGAAAGGTCTCCGAGATGAGGACTTGAGTTAAGCAGAAGGCAGAAGCTTGGGGTGTGTGATCCTAGACCACCTGCCTATATATTGATCTCCCACCCTATTCCTACATCTTAGAGACATGAAAGATTATCCCGTAGTTCTTCCTTAAGACAAATGTAGCCTGGGGAAAGGGAAACCTATGTAGTTATTTTGGTAAACTTTTTAATTGATTTCATTTTTCCTATGGCAGCTTGCAGTTATACTTTTATTTATGTGGTTGTTTACTTGAGGTCTGTCTTCCCTACTAGACTAGGTAAGTTTCAAAAGGTTGGCAACCTCATTTGGTCACAACTGTATATCCAGTATGCAGAACAGTGCCTGATATATATTAAGGACTGCACAGATGCTTGCTATATGAATGAACAAAGGTGTGTTTGGCTGACCTACCATATGCCCTGTCTTATATGTGAGAAGATGCTAGGGGAGATATTTCTGTCCTCTGAATATTTGGAGGTTATCACATTAAGGATTTAAGGTTTATAAGGCCTTGGGTCTAATTCCCAAGTCATCATTCATTTGGCATTTATAGTGAAAATTAATTTAATTTTGAATATGGGATCATTTGTTGAGTAAAATGACCATTAGAAGTCTTTCCTTGTGACATACAGTAGTGGAACATAGGTTTGTCATACATTGGCAAAAAATAAGAAAGGAAAGAAAAAAAGTAACCTTTATCACAATCTGCAACTAAGAACCAAAACCTGAATTATGAACACTTCTTCTTAGCAGTAGGCCAGGACAGGGAATCATGAGATGCAGGTTCACCTATGGTGAACTCACTCAGTCAATGATCTTAGGCAAGGCAGTTCCTCCTGGGGCCTCAGTTTCCTTTGCAGTTGGGTGGATTTCAGGGATCTCTTCCAGTTCAGAAATACACTGTGCTGTTTGACAGAACTTTGAACTAAAACCTGCTGGTGCAGAGCCTTAGTGGTTAGGAGCAAGAGCTTTGATCATCATACGTGCTTGGGTTCATGTCCCAGCTCTGCCAACTGATGCCGGGCACTCTACCTCTCTGAATCTCTTCTGTGAAATGGGGATAGTGATTCCTATGTGCTAAAGTTAGGAGGTTTAAATAAAGATTTGCACTAAAATTGCTTAGCACAGAGTCTGGCCCAGAATCAATAAATATTCAAAAAATTTAGAAGTTGTCATTACTTCTGTCTTGAAGATATTTATGCCCTTACTTATTTTAAATGCCTCACCAATAGAACTGGGATGATTTTTCATCTTCAAACTGCACAGTATGCTCACAATGGACAGGTGGTCATTTAATTTATCAAAAGGCAAACTTTGGTGTGACATCATGATCTTGACAGACAAATGCCTCCCTCCCTTATTTCAGGTTAGTTTAACAGTGATGCTCCTCTGAGCTTCTAAGAGACATCAGTGTGTCTCTCTCTGAGTGGTTGCGTGTCCCTCTTTAGATGAAACCCTTTATAAGCATAACCATGCCAGTGTGAGAGAACTTCTGGCCCGGAGTGGGCATAGTTCCTCCAGCCTGGTTTCTTATAAATTCACTGGAAACAGAGTTTGTCTGAAGACTACACAAGAAATGAAAGTAAACGCCTGCACTTAGAAAACTGCAGTTAAACCAGACTCCATGGAAATAATGCACAATACCCAGAAGCCTATGTAGAATTGTCACTTGTGCTGGCAGAGGGCCTTCGCCCCTGCAGGCTGGGACAGTGGCCAGGGAGCAAATGGTGTGCTGGCCCTTCCTTTCACAAAGGTGTGGACACTCTAAGTGCCAAGGCTGTGGGTGGGGTCCCTTGGGCCTGTGCTGCTCTGATTCCCTATCATTGTAAGGTTCTCTTTTCTCCCTGAAGTGTTCTGACTGTCTTTCTTCTCTCTACCCTAACCCCACTTTTGTTTTATTTTGATTTTCTACTGCTCCCTGATTGGATCCTCCATAGGAACGCTTTGGGGTAAATATGTTCAATTATCTTTGAAGTAAAAGATACAAGGAATGAGTTGGAGGAGCAAGAAAGTATGGTTGGGAGGAGAGGGGCTCATGCATTGAGAAAAGAGTGATCAGCTTTTATTTATATCCCAGAGACCAAAATCAGGAGTCACCAAGCCTTCTTGGGAAATGATCATTCTTGTTGGTGTGGATATGTATTAGGCTCATATGTTGCCTCTTTTAGGTATGTAGACAGATGAGCCTAATGCGGTGAAATAGTTTGTAAAATATACCAAAGCCTCTGGATGTTAAAGACCATATGAATGCAATGCTTTTGGATTATTTTTATTCAGATCTAGGATTGAATAAAAGTGACTTGTAGGTCATGGCCTGTAATCATTAAGAGAGTCTTAAAATAAACATTCTGGGCAAAGTCAGCATTCCTTGAATTCAATTAAATATCTTTTGGCCTCGCTTCTGTGAAAGAAAGCCCTTGCAGTTCCCACCTGATGTTCTGCACCCCATTTCCTCAGACTGTTGGTGTAAGAGTAATCTGGGTCAACATGAAGAAAGAGACAGAGCCTTACTCCACTATTTGGAGTCTTGTTTTCCACCATTTGTGTGTTTTATAAACGATAATTATTTGAATTCAATGCAAAGGTCTCAGGGGAAGAACAGGGAAGAAAGAGAAATGCAAGTTTATTGTTCATTTTATTCCTAAAAATAAAAAGAGAAATATACTGTCACTATTAGGAGTAAACATTTCCAAGAAGCTGAATAGGGAGGGTCATTAGCTGTAGGGCCAGGATAAAGGTAGGCCGGGCCTGCAGTTTGGGCCTCCCCCAGCCCAGTGACTCTCTGCAGCCTGTGCTAGGTGCACACCGTCTGCAATGGAAGGTACTGCGGGAAAAGCCAGCCACACAGAGGTACTGCAGTGTGAGCCAAGGTCCTGGCTAGAAGCCTGCATGACATGCTTTCTCTGGAACACGTGGCCCAGCAAGAGTGTCATGTCTGCCACCACCCTGCCTCACCTTGCTCTCTCCTGCACTAATGAACTGTGCAGTGGTGACAAACCTAGATTAAGTCAAGTGCCCTGATGAGGCTTGCTCTCAACTGTGGGTTCATCAATTCAGCGAATATCATTTGAGAACCTATCATTTAACAAGCACTGGATTTGGCACAGTGGGGATCTGAAGTGGGCTACTGCTCACATTCCCTAGTTGACGTGTCTTCTGTTTTCATTGTGCCAGGGTGGTAATCAGCAGCATTAGACTGGTAGTTAGGGAAGGAAGTGTTTATTAACGTATGTGCGTGGATGCCTCTGTGTGCCTATGTGTTCCTCTGTGTGTGTATATATGAGTGTGTATGTGCATGTGTGGGTGTTTATGCATGTGGATGTGTGTTCATGTGTGCACACTGGGAAGTGATTTGAGAATATTCCTGAAGCGTTTTTCGTAGGATGTCCCTGGAGTCAAATCTGACTCAAGTTTCTGGCTTCTTGCCTCCATCTCTCCCATACATCTCTCCCCTTTTAGCCTGTTGTTGCTAATGCCATAGTTTGAATGTCATTTTTATTTCTCCCCCATTCCATATGATTCCCTGGGGGCCTCTCCCCTGCAGAACCAACAAAGGACGGGACATCAAGACCATCAAGTCTCTGCGGGTGCTCCGAGTTCTAAGGCCACTGAAAACCATCAAGCGCTTGCCCAAGCTCAAGGTAGTGTTTACAGAGTTTGTTCCCATCAAATCCCCTTCTCCCATCTTCTCTCTTTAGCCATGGCTGGCCTGCCTTTGGAGAATTTGTTCTGGGAATATTCCTTTTTCTCACACGGATATTGAAGTTCTTTTCATCTGTCTGAGCTAAAGGTCTTAGTTTCAAAGGAAAATAGCCAACATCCCAAGAAATCTGTAAGAAAGCTTTTCCTTTTAGTTCAGACCCAGGTGGTATCTACTCTCCAGTGTGATATGTCATCCAAGAGGGAATCCTGTGTGGCTTTGTCCTGGGGCCTCCTATGTCCCCAGTGCAGACCCAGAACACCAGAATGGACGCAACGGGACCCCTCTGTGTGTTGTGGTCTGCGTAGTTTTTAAGGCCGAGTATCCTGGGACATTTTCTTTTTCTTACAGCTCTAGAGGAGAAGAGGCTCTTCTGGCCCCACCCTTTATAATTTTGAGGCACAGATAGGTCAGTAACTTGTCCAAGGACATGCAGTCCATTTTTGGCAGAGGCAGAGAAGAAATGGGGAAGTGAGCTGACATGAATTAAGTTCTTCCTATTGCCAGGACTTTTACTAGGTATCTTACCCAGATTTCTCCTTGTCTAATACTCCACCTGCTCAACTCGCCTGGGGTTCCACTTTCCATGAGCCTTCCTGCCTCTCAGGAAAGCATCATGCGCTCTATTACACAAGTCTGCTAGCCTGTTGAACCCACCTGCCCCACCCCACATACTTTGCTGTTAATAGAAGCTGAATCTCCATGGGAGGAAAGTTCTTTCTCCCTGAATTCCTATGAATGTCAGCAAGTCACTGCCAGGGAGAGGAACAGAGCTCCTGGTTTCCAGCCCCAAAGTCTTTCTGCTGCTCAGGCCACACAGCCAGCCAAGCCCCATCTTCAGGGGCTACACCAGAATATTTTCCAGCAAGCAGACTCAATTCCCTAACTTCTGCATCGCATGGAATCATGCAGTGCTTCTCAAAGTGTGGGTCATAGGCCACCTGCATCAGGATCACCTGGGTACTCCTTAAAATCCAGATTGCTGGCCACAACACAACAGAGCCAGAATCCCTGTGGGAGGGGCTTGGAGTGCGCCTCTTAAACCGGCTTCCCAGGTGACTCTTAGAATATAGTGTAGTTTGAGAACCCCTGTCAACATTAAAAAGAACCCACGTGAGTGCCAGGCTCAGCTCTAGGACTTAGAAGCTATATGACCTAGGGCAAATTACTTATTCTTTGACTTTCTTTCACATGGGAAATGAGGACACCTTGTAACTCATACATCTGTGGTGTGGAGAAAATGAACTGATGTGAGTGGTCCCTGTTAGAAAACTTAACAGTTCCTCTGGAATGCCTGGGCCTGCTCTCCCAAGCCTGCCACAGGGGACAGAGCTTGGGGAGGGCTCTTGTGCATTTGACTCTCCCTTGCTTCTCAATTCCCACTTCCTATTGGATTCTCATCACCTCTGATACTCTTTGCCCACCCCAACCCCAAACCTCCTTCAGGCCTCATAGCACTGCTTCCCTTTCAGCCATTTGGCAATGCAGAGAGGTGGCAAAACTAACTAGGTTCATGAAACAGAAGAAAAGTCACTTCTGAGAGGCCCTGATGTGACTGAAACCTGGCTACGTTTCAGAGCCCAGGGGCCCTGGCCCACCGCATGGGTTCCCAGAGAGAGACACCCATGCTCCCAAGGAAGTGGCCTGGCCGACTGCTGTCCTCCCTGGCTACCCCGCTTTGCCCCTGGAGGAGGCACTTGCACAATGTCAGCTGTTTATTACTACCTTCCTGCCCAGTAATGGCCCAGTTCAGCACCTGCCCATAAATACTCATTGGGTTGTGCCTCACACCCCACAGTGTGCTGCCTGGGGCCCTGACCCTTATCAGTGTTGTCAGTGATCCTGCAGGGCAGGATTCAGTGGGCCTCAAGGAGAGTGCAGACAAGCTTGATGAGATTAGTTAATAGGCCAGAGAAAGCACCCTGCAACCTTGCTTAATTCTGTTAAATTAGAAAGGGCTAGTTCCTCGCTCTGCAGCTCCATAACCTGAGGGAGACGTAGGTGGCTCTGACGATTCCACAAGGCTGCCTGTCACTCACATTCCCCGCAGTGTTGAACTAATTAAACCAGCAGTGCTTCACCCAGTGCTGCAAAGAAGCAACTGCACAAATGCAGCACCACTGTGGGGCTAGATTATCCTGTGAGCTAAACCTAAAACCTAGAAAATAACCTAAAAATGGCCTGAAATGTGTTGAATTCCCATGTAACTCCTCACAGCTTAGGGCATAGAGTGGAGGTCACTGGAGGTCTGTCGCCTTTTAACTGAAGTGTAAGTCCCTGGTTCTATCTACCCAGTCTCGCCATCTCTAACAGAAGGTGTGTATTGGTCTTTCCCACTTTACTTCTATTGGTCTTCATCCCCAGTGCAGCCACCTTCACTAGAGAACATTTACATGAAGTACTAAATATAATCACAAATGTATGAACTTGCTATGAAATATTAGTGAAATGAACAAAGATGATAGTGTATTATTACCTGATTCTTTTAGAAAGGTAAGGAGAAAATAATACATAATCAGTATATAATTCGAATCTAAGAATGTCACCAAATAAAGCACAAGCTATTTAAAGACTAAAATGGGCTAAATGATCTCAAAGATCCCTTCCAGCAATACACTTCTATGCTTCACACTAAGTGGAGTACCCGTACCAGGAACCCACAGAGGACCACATTCCTTGCTTGATATCATCGGATTTCTACTGCGTTGGGTCTACATTCAGTTTCAGAACATGTGTTCCCATCTTAGGTGGTAGGTCCTTGCAGTCATAACCAGCTTAGAAGCCAGCCCTTAATCTCATGAGCGACGCCTCACCTCTTAGCAGGAAATTCTATCCTGGGACAACTTCTTAGTGGGGCTTGGTGGTGGTGGTATGGCCCAGCTCAGCTCTAGACAAGTGTGCAGACCATCACAGGGTTCACACAGCAGGGCTCTTTGCTCTATCCACAGGCTGTCTTCGACTGCGTGGTGACCTCCTTGAAGAATGTCTTCAACATACTTATTGTCTACAAGCTCTTCATGTTCATCTTTGCTGTCATCGCAGTTCAGCTCTTCAAGGGAAAGTTCTTTTATTGCACGGACAGTTCCAAGGACACAGAGAAGGAGTGCATGTAAGTGCCGCCAGCACATCCCACTTGATTTTGCTGAAGCATGTCCTGATGAGCCCACTCCACCCCCACAGGTCCACCTTCCCTCCTCTCTATCTTACCCATCTCCACGCTTCTTTCAGCAAAAAGACAAAACAGGGAATCAATAAACTTTTTATTGAGTGCCTCTTTTGTGTCAGACATGAAAACTTGAGTGTAAACTGTCTTGTACCATGACATTTTACACTCGAGTTTTCATTTTAAACCCCTATAATGAGCTATTGAAATGAGTTTTATTTGCTTATTATACAAGTGGAAGCTAAGACTCAGAAAGTTAACCTTAAGCAAGTTGCTCAAGGTTACACAGCCACTAGTGAAAGGGTTGGGATTTACTGCCATATCCATTGGGCACCAAATCCCATTTTTGCTCCATGGTAAAAACACGTTCCTTTAATAAATTCCTTTTCCTTACACATATATGGTGATCATTATTACTCCCAAATTATTGTGACCTGTAGAATGTGCTGACTCTTCCATGAGCTATAGTGAGGGGGCCCTCTTTCATTTCTGCTCTGGTTTTAGAGGCAACTATGTAGATCATGAGAAAAACAAGATGGAGGTGAAGGGCCGGGAATGGAAGCGCCATGAATTCCACTACGACAACATTATCTGGGCCCTGCTGACCCTCTTCACCGTCTCCACGGGGGAAGGATGGCCTCAGTGAGTGATTGAGTTGGCATGCTTGTATGTGGCTGTGATAGGCCCCCCGGTTGCCTTGAGAAGCTGACTCAAGATGAACAAGGCTCACCCTTTGTTATTGTATCAGGGAAAGTAAGGGGTTTTCAGAAGGTGACACAGGCAGAAAAAAGGAAGAATGAAAATTCTTCAGGCAAAAATGGAGAATCGGGTGAGCAAATCAGGGAAATATTTGAAACTCTTAATGTTTTAGCCAATTATTGAGGAGTTGAGTGGAACCATCTGACTTCTGTGGAACAGATGAGTTTTGAACAGCCCTGTACCTGTAAGGAGAGTTCCTGAGAGCTGTTATAAACAGATTTATCCTCCAGGGGGGCCCAGTACCTGAGAGCCTGAGGATTGAGGGTTAAGAATGAGTTGGCAAAACCCAAAGGCACTTCCTGTGATCATGAAGAAGACCACAGAATACAGGTCTTATGCTGCCCATAGCTGAAAGCTAATTTTTCAGAGACTTAGCAATGACTAAGACACCACTTTCTGGTGGCAGCATGTTCTTGTTGGCAGCAAACTGTTAAATGGAAATCTGGGAGTCTCTTTGTATTGAACATGACAACCTAAACTATGAAATTATGTCCCTCTGTTGCTTAGGAGTCGAGTGCATGATGGAATGGGGGCTAGAAAGAGAAGCGGATTGTTGATAGCAGGATATGACACTTGGGTTTGGACTCAAAAAACTTAATGGAGGATCTGCAAAGTCAAAGAAGTCAGATAAAATATTATAATAGGTGGCATATCTCCTAATGAAGCCAAGACTGTCATCCACCATCTGTGCCCTCTCGTTCTGTCCCCACAGAGTTCTGCAGCACTCTGTAGATGTGACAGAGGAAGACCGAGGCCCAAGCCGCAGCAACCGCATGGAGATGTCTATCTTTTATGTGGTCTACTTTGTGGTCTTCCCTTTCTTCTTTGTCAATATCTTTGTGGCTCTCATCATCATCACCTTCCAGGAGCAAGGGGATAAGATGATGGAGGAGTGCAGCCTGGAGAAGAATGAGGTAACAACAATTGGTCTAAAGTGGGAGGCAGCAGGGGCTCCAGAAAGGATTCTTGGGCCAGCAGTGTAAGAAAGGAGGACTGCATTTTCTTAACTTGATTAAGAATTATAGAGAGAAGATGAGAAAAGTAATTATTCAGTCATTAAATAAACATTTTCCAAGCACTGTTTAAGGCCTGTGTATGAGGCACAGAGATCTGGAAGATGTGTAAGATGTTTATGATGCAGTCATTACCTTTGTGTATGCATAGTCTAGAAAACAAAGATGTGTGGCACAATGATAATATCAGATATCTGCTTATCTGGCTGCTGTGACCTTCCATGCCATGTATTTGCTGTAAGGGCAGGGAATGTGTCTTATCACAGCTTTTCCAGCAACAAGCATAGTTCTGGCACATTGTAAGGTTTCAAAAGCTTTTTTTGAAATTTCTTTCCTTTTTTTTTTTTTTTTTAACGATGGAACTGAACTGGAAACGTTAGGGACTGTAAGAAATGTGACAGAAAGTGCTGTAGAAATACATAGGTAGGTAGATCTTTACTTCTGACTAAGGGCACCAAGGAAGGCTTCCTGCCTAAATAGCTCAGCCACATGCTGTGTAAAGGACTTTTTAAATAATCATGAAGTCTCTACTCCACATGACAACACCTCCTTCAAGGTGATGCCTTGTCTGTAGTTTTGTCTAGGTGACCCCAGTTGCCATCTTTACTTGCCCAGCCCTGCCCTTTTTCCCATTCACTGCCCTCCTCTTCTGAACATGGAACAGAGCCTGCCATGCTAGATCTATGGGATCTGAACTTGTGCGAATAACCATGACTTTCTTGCAGAGGGCGTGCATCGACTTCGCCATCAGCGCCAAACCTCTCACCCGGTACATGCCGCAGAACAGGCACACCTTCCAGTACCGCGTGTGGCACTTTGTGGTGTCTCCGTCCTTCGAATACACCATTATGGCCATGATCGCCTTGAATACCGTCGTGCTGATGATGAAGGTGAGAGGAGAGAGGCACAAGAGCCGGCTGAGCCCCAGCGATGGTTCCCTCCCACGGCAAGTGGGAAGACACCCCAACATCCCAGCCCGTCACTGCTTTACCTACTTTTCCATCATGGAATCCTTTTGTGATCTGTATTTTGTTCAACAACCCAACCTCTGGGGCTTTGGGGGTCCACTGAGCAAAATGCAGTGCAGCCTATAGTAGCCATCCAGGGGCTCCCAAGACCTGAGATGGCAATGGGAGGCAGCTTCAGACAAGGGTGGAAAAATCAGGAGACAGAGATCCATCATCATGGGGTCTGAAGGAGCCTTGGAGTACTCAGAGAGGCTCATCCTGTTTAATACTAAATGACTAACTCCAGTAACTAACTTTAGAAAACGTTTCTTCTCTGCCCACCCTCATCTCTAGGAAGACTGGCCATTTTGCTGTTAAGTCTGGTGGGGTGTGGGTCTGTGTTTTCCTTTGTTTTGTTGGGTAGAATATGTGGTTCTCCCCTCCAGCACTCGAAGTCCATCTCTCCTCCTGTACTGCGTACCAGAGTCTCCTACAGGGCAGGAATGAGAGATGGCCAACCTCGGTGACATGTATTCCCCCTCTTACCTTAAGGCTGTGATTCTTTCTCTCTTCTTTTCTCTTCCTGGCAGTATTACTCTGCTCCCTGTACCTATGAGCTGGCCCTGAAGTACCTGAATATCGCCTTCACCATGGTGTTTTCCCTGGAATGCGTCCTGAAGGTCATCGCTTTTGGCTTTTTGGTATGTCGCTGAATCCTTCCCAGCACTGGGCGTGTCTCTTTCTGTTGGGTGCTTTCCCAGCCTTTGTGGAAAGGGAGGTGGTTACTGCTATTCCAGAAATCACCCACCTAGATGTGGGCTCGTTTTGACTGCTCAGTAAACTGCCATAGAGACAAGATGTGTGAGGAAGTTGGGAGAAAGGGCAAAGGAAGCCACATCCCAGGTTCATGCTTATGGGGCTATCAGCCCTGGTCCTGTGAAATTCTGTCAGCAGTCCAGAGGCGGCCATCATTGGGTTTTACTAGAACTGCAATTTATGTGTAGATGAAGGAGCAAGCCAAAGATTGGACTAATAAACTTCGAGTGCTTATTTACTGGTAAAAGGTATAAGAGCTTTATAACACAAATAGGAAAATACCTATCGCTGTTAGCCTCAAACATAGCAAATAATAGATTTTACCTATGAGTCCTTCTGCCATTAGTAACATGAAGAATAGTTTCTGCCAAAGAAAATAGGTGTTTATTACTTATGCCTATAAAGGTTAATGGCCTTTAAGAGGGGTGTGTGTGTGTGTGTGTGTATGTGTGTGTAGTGCAACGGGAAGGATTCTGGAATTAAGTCTGAGGAGGTTTGGGGATGATGAATTTTTCTGCCATGAGCCCTCTTTTTTCTTTTCCTCAACTACTATTAATAATTATAATGTTTGGCAAATTCTTGCATCTGTTCTCAAGAGTGTTAAGAAAACCTAGCCCTTTGCTTCAGTGTCCTATAAACAAGATAATCCCGTTGGCCACCCTCCCCCCACCTTGCTTCAGTGTGTACAGTGAGTTCAGTGGGATGCAAGCCCACGTGACAGCTGTTTCACACTTAGGGTGTGAGCTACCATTTCAAATTACATGGGTATATGGCTTTCCCTGCAAGAAGGAGAACTTTGCTCATTATCTGAATAAGTGTTTGTCTGGTAGCAGCTTTAACAGAGACTCTGGGCTGGGTTCAATAATTGTGAGTGTTGATTACGGGGGCTGCTTTTGGTCTCCCAGCGGGTTCTTTGAAAAACCATTAAGTTGATCATTTTGGGTGGAGAGTTTAAGGGAACCAATTGCAGTTGGCTGCATTGTGTTTGCCTGGCTCCCTTTTGAGTGTTTTGAGACTTGGGGAAATAAAAAAGTAAAAGAAACTACTACCAACAAAGATGCCTTTATAATACAGTCTAGCCCTGAGCAGGGGGAGTTGACCGAGAGGGAGACACAAGCACCACAACAGGGAAAGTTTTTCTGTGCATGTTGATTACTTGTATGTGGTATTGACATTGTCTGTGACTTAAGACCCATTATGTGTCTAATTATGGCGAATGCTGAATATATATTCACAGCCTTAACTAGATTCGGCCCTTGAAGCCTGCATCCTTCCCACCCTACCCCCATGTTTTCGTTCAAGGTCTAGAGGGATTTTCACTCTATAAAAGGTACCACTAATTCTGATAAGTCCTTACATTGTTAAGGCACTCTAAGCCTTCAGAATATCGTAATATATACTATTTCATTAGATCTTCTCAGTGACTCTGAAATAGGCATGGCAGATGTCACTATCATAATTGCCATTATTGTTGTTATTTTAAATGAGGAAATTGAAGTTCAGAAAAATTGTATAGCTTCCTAAAGATTACATAATGACAGGCAATAGAATTGCAAGGCAAAATGGGAAAAAAAGGAAAGGAAAAAGAAAAAGAGGGTAAGATGTAACAAAAATTGGTTGGTTATCAAGTACCAAATGCTTTACATATTGTTTTTCTCTCCATAACAATATATTAGATAAGCATTCTTATTTTTGCCTTTTTATGGATCAGCTGGAGCTCAGAAAGGTTGAATACTTTGGCCAAGATTAGTAAGAGGTAGGGCTAGGATTCAGACCCTGTTCTTTCTAACTTCAAAGCTCACAATAATCTACTAGTCTACACTACACTGTACTATTCTATACCATACACCACAGTGTGCTAGTCTATACCACAGCATGCTATTCTGTATTGTAAAGCATTGTTAACTGGAATCCAGAGCTTCTGGTCCTCTGAGACTTAGATCCGTGCACCAATATTTAGAAAGAATTAAAACCAAGAATTAGGAAGTTCACCCCAGGTGGGACAATAGGAGAGCCCTGAGAATTGAGGAATTCAGCTACTTAATTTAGCTCCACCACTGATAGACTAAATATTCTAATGGAAAGTGAATTTATGAAACTCTGTGCTTCAGTCTCTCCACATGCCCCATAAGTACATGTGGCTTTGGAATAAGGCCTCTCTCAGCCTCATTTTCTCGTACATAAAATGAGGATAACAGTAGCTACCTTATGGCCTTAGCTACTTTGTTGTATGTATCCAATTAAGTGATATTCATAGCCTTCTGAGTGGATGTTCCTTAAATATAACTTCTCTCTCTCTCCACACTCCTTTTCTCTCTTTATTGGGTATTTTTCCCCCCTCTTGCCAACTTTTCCATTCAGGATTCTATGAACATGGGGTATTTGTCACTCCCTGCCTCTAGGATCCATGAGAGGAATAAATGAGTTGAAAGAATGCCAAAGGCCTGGCCTAGTGTCTGGCTCATGTCGTAGGAATTCGATGATGCTAGTTGTGAGGCTGGGATGGAGTATACTTCTGCAGTGCTCTGACAGTCTCTTGTTTTTTATGCCAAGGATAGGATAAAATAATCCATTGTCCTGTGATCTTGCTGAGGATATCAATTACAGGTGTTTGAAATTTTCTTCTCCTTGTACTTTCTCTGTCTCCTCTGAATTTCTGCATTCTGTTGATTTTAATCTCTGTTTTCTGTGTTACAGACTGCCCTTATATGTCCCAGGGGCAAGCAAGTGAATTGTTTTTGAGATTCAAGTATCCTTTTTGTTTGTTTGTTTTTAAAGGAACACAGTCTAAGGTCTGTGTTCATCTGAGCCTAGGAGATGGATGCATAGTCCACCCTCTCCTGTTAAATGGAGTGTTATCTGATTGGTGGATTTTCCAGGCCTTTTATATCTCCTTCAGCTCACTCATTTTATTACTGCTTCCTTGTACTTAGTTACATCTCCTCAAAAGGTATAACAGCAGAGAAAAAGGGGAAACATGAAGTCTATTCATCCTATTACCAATCAGTAGTTGGTTTGAAAAGGCTCAATGGAGTTAGAAGGAGATTTTTGGCACATCTGTAACCTTTAATCACTTACCACTTGTGTGACTTTTGTTGATAGTTGAAAGTCAGACTGTATTTTCTAGGGCACTTGATGCAATAGAGATAATTTAAAAGCTATAGCTGTATGACCATGGCGATGGTTTCACAGGTATAGACGTTTCCCCAAACCAATCAAGATATATGCCTTAAATATGGATAGCTTTTTATTTGTCAATCATGCCTCCATAGAGGTTTCAAAATACATAAATATTTGTTAAAAATGAAAATTGAAAAAACCTTTTTTTAACATATGAGCTTTTGGTGACAGTTTCAAAAATAAAGTCTTCAAATAGTGATGGCACTGCTTTCCAAATGAGAAATTCCCAGATTAGTAAAGGAGAAATGGCATCTCTGGTTAGAAATGGGAAACCGAAGCCAAAGTAAGAGTGAACTTATGCATGAATTGACAAGTTTTATTTCCAAGTGACAAACAAAGTTATATAATGAAAGATGTCTTTTCTCCTCTTTTTTTCTTTCCTTTTTCTGATGTTCCTATGACTGAATTCATTTGGCAGAACTATTTCCGAGACACCTGGAATATCTTTGACTTCATCACCGTGATTGGCAGTATAACAGAAATTATCCTGACAGACAGCAAGGTGAATCGCCTATAAGATCCACGTCTGTAAGCTTGGTCCTGGAGTAGCATTTTTAAGACTCCTCTGTACATTCAGTCCATTTTTAACCCACCAGAGAAAATGTGTACCCCTCTAAGTGTTGGGAATTTACTCCCTCACTGCTCGGCATTAGCCAGGGAATGCAAACTTGGGAGTGGCACTGGATCTCCGGGAAGGCTTTGTTGATCTGCATGACTCAGGCAGCAGACCTCTAATGGGGTAGGTGGAATAGATGGTGTCAGAAGAGAGCTAGTATGCGTAGCGTTCACAGTATCTTTGCCCTCAAAGTTCATAGACCTGTATTTTTTCCATAAACTTGTTATTTCTAAACACAACTTGGAGAGCTCATGGTAACTGTCTTTGAATATCAGAGGGCCAACGTGTGCTAGAGGGGTTCCCAGATCTGCTCTTTTTGGCATCTAAGTGCAGACTTCAGACCACTCAGTAGAAGACTAGGGAGGCTGGTTTTGTGAGCAGGGTACCCTTCTCAGGTACATCCTTTACCCTCCTACCTGGGGATAGAGAGCAGGCATGGGAAGGCTTAGGAGATAAGCCTCACTGGCCAGCCCATCAGCTGGAATTGGGGTTAACAAAGACAGAGACTGTGTCCCATTTATCGGAATGAGGGATAAATACACAAATACTAGTGCTTAGATTTTTCTAAATGACCATAATGTTCCTAATTATATGTTTCCTTTTGGTCCACCAGCTGGTGAACACCAGTGGCTTCAATATGAGCTTTCTGAAGCTCTTCCGAGCTGCCCGCCTCATAAAGCTTCTGCGTCAGGGCTATACCATACGCATTTTGCTGTGGACCTTTGTGCAGTCCTTTAAGGTAAGAGGTACCAGCAAATCCTCTCTGAGGGTTGTCATATCAGACAGCACAGCCAGGCAACACTGGCGTCATTACCCAAGTCCCTTCACCTCTGGGAAGCTGAAGCTAGTAGAACGGGTGTTTGTTAGAAGCAGTCAGTAAATACTGCAATTCTTAGTTACAGCACAGCTTGGCTTGACTGGAATCAGCTTATGTCTACTGGATAGAATCTCATTTTAGAAAAACACCTTGACTTTGTGACTCAGGCATCCTCTCTGTCTGCTGAGGCAGGAGACACGTTTTATAAGATGTGCTTTGTCCCTAGAGATTCCAGACAGTCCTGAGTAACCCCATCCATGTAACGAGCCAGTTGTCTGTAGTCAGATGTCCTCTGCATTTTCAGGGACTTTGGGTGTTTTTATTTCACATGAAAGTTTTTCAAAGGACTCACTGAGTTGTGTTTCATAGAGAGATGATTCATATTTAGCCCCACCTTTGTCTTCATCAGCATTTATTTCCTGAGGCACTGAACACAGGGTATACTAATGGTCACCTCTGTGTCCTACAAATAAATAGGGACATCTGGGCAGGTTAATACGCTGTGTTTCCTTTGAACAGTCTAGTGGAGCTGTACAGTGGTGTATATATAATAAATAAAAGTAAAAAATTGACAGCTGAGACCCAAACTTTCAGTAAAAGTTTCCTAAACATACTCAAATATCTTTGGGCTCTAGCAAGTACTATAAATTAGTTGTTTTTAAGCTTTGGGGGGTGGGGGCCTAAATGTTGTTCAAATGCCTGTTCTTACTAAAACGAGTTTTCCAGTGAATGTGTTTAAAAATAAACTGGATGGAATCAAGTGATTCAAAGATGAGAAATTATGAATTCACCAAATTGACTTTATTTTAATTATTTATACAGTTTAATTAAAAATTAAGCTAAAGATCGGGAGGCTGAGACGGGCAGATCATGAGGTCAGGAGATCGAGACCATCCTGGCTAACATGGTGAAACCGCATCTCTACTAAAAAAAAAATACAAAAAACTAGCCAGGTGAGGTGGCAGGTGCCTGTAGTCCCAGCTACTTGGGAGGCTGAGGCAGGAGAATGGCGTAAATCCGGGAGGCAGAGCTTGCAGTGAGCTGAGATCCAGCCACTGCACTCCAGCCTGGGCGACAGAGCGAGACTCCGTCTCAAAAAAAAAAAAAAATTAAGCCAAAGAAGGCAAGCCAGTGAACTCGTGGTTTCTCATCACTTGGAAAAGGATTTCTCCCCACATCCATCATTACTGATTTACTTCCTCACCGAGGACCTGGGATTTTGAGATATGAGATCAATTTGAAGGATGCTCTGGCTCCTAGGAGCGACCTTGACATTTTTATCATATCCAGAACAATTGTTTGGCATAATGACCCCACGGAGGCCTCACCTCAATGAAAACTATTTTTCTAAAACTAGATATGGAGAGAAATCTAAAACCTTAGCAAGAATTTTCTGAGTCTCAGGTGATTTTGGATTTAGAATTGGAAACACAAGATGCTTTTAAAAACTTTTTTTTAGAGTATTGCCCAACAAACTTCAGTTGTTAGTCTGTTAAGAAATATTTGTCATCCTGTCATATTTTCACAATTACCAAGTCTCTGAGAAACCATATACTATTGAGAGCAAAGATAATATTGTCAAAATTTTCTTGATGGCCAAATGGTTGGCTTATTCCAGCAAATACTACAGAGAACAGAGAAGACAGGTGAATTTGCCTCCAGGTGACACTGTGTTATAGATAGATGTTTCCTTTTCAGAACAGTTCTGGGACACAGTATAGAAGTTTGATTTTTAAAAGTCAGATTAGCAAAGGCTGCCTCTGCAAATAGAAAGCAGAGAGCCACACGATATAAACAACATCGACATTGCCTATACCTCCCCCACCCTCCCCTAAACAGCATCCAGTTTTCTACATCTGACCCCTACTCTACAGTTCTTACCTCTTTTTCCTTATTTTGTGTTAGAATGTATAAACATGACAAGAAAGGAAAACGGAATGAATCTTTGCTTTTCTCCCTAAGTTGGGAGTAGGGAGAGATAAACTAGGGACTAGAGTGGAGACAGTAGAATAAGGGTAGAAGGTGAAGATGAAAGGCAGCAGCACTGCAGGCACAAGAAACCCTGTCTCCTTCCTTCTGGCTTTCTGTAGAGGAGGTCCACATTGCCCGTCAAAGTGCAGCCAACCCCCATCACAGAGCCTAGGAATCAACACTTCCTCGGAGAGGGAATTCTCCCACCCGCTTTCAGTCGCATTTTAATTTTAGCCTCTATTCAAGTTGTAAATAGTCTCATAGGGCTCTTCATTTTGTTAGTGCTGTTGAAAAGCTCTGTCCTGTTCATGTAGTCTGAAAGCCTCAATTGATCTCCTGGGATTCATGGTGTGCACAATCAAGACAGGGTGGAGACTCCTCATAGCACTGTCTGCCAGGGAGCTTAGTGGATGGTAAAGAAGAGGGACTTCTCTGGCAGCACTGAGATCAACACAAAATTAGAGTGTCCCACTCTGGCCCCAAATCCAAACTGTCCTATGTCTGCATCCTCCTCCAGCACCAAGGCCAGTTCCCTGCCTCACATCTCCTTGCCTTGACCCTCACCTCTAAACCTGGAATGTTATCCCAAAGTGGCAGTAAGCATGCACAGTATGGAATTTTGTGCTACATGGCTTCATGGCAGAGTTTTTTGGTGGCTAACTTACCAGGCTTTTGCATGAAACATAATAAAACGTCAGGAGGCTTAAACACTGGGAAATGACATTTCATCAGAAAATGAAAGAGCCTTCTGGGAACTTAAAAACAAGAGAGTCCCCAGTCATTTCACTTTGATTCCAGAGTCTTCACTATGGGTGCCACTTTGGGTATGGGAGTGGGAGGGGGTAATACAGGGATTTGGAAGCCAAAGCTAGGTGCTTCGTATTTAATTTACATCACAATTGCTAGGTTATTAATTTTCTGCATAGCAAGTGGGATGAACCCCAAGTCCAAGAAGTTTTCCCAGCTTTCCTTCTAGATATGGGCTATACTTATGGGTGAGTAAATCTTCCTGATAGAAGTAAATTTTAAGCCTCCCTTTGGCCAGCTGTTTACCTATCTGTCAGAGGACAAGGATGCCTGAGAAAGTATTGCACCTCAAAACAGAACAACCTCAGGGAATAGAGAGTCCCAGTCTCTGTTTGCATTAGCCTCCAGGCAAGATCCTGTACTGCCAGTAACTGCAGGTTAAGCCTGGGTGCTGCCTTTCTTTGATTAATGTCTTATCTCTGCTTTCCTTCCAGGCCCTCCCTTACGTCTGCCTTTTAATTGCCATGCTTTTCTTCATTTATGCCATCATTGGGATGCAGGTGAGCTGGTAAAACAAGGGCCCGGTGGGGGACAGCTGTTACCCAGATAATCTCTGGCTTAGCAGCCTAAGCATGCAAGACCTGAAGATGCTTTGAACCCCTTCTTGTCTAAGGGTGCTCCCGTGAGGTCTTGTCACAATATTACTTTGGGAATTTCACATGTGCAGCGGCTCCCCCATTTAGCTTGCCTAAGTATTCAGGGTAGTCTGGTACAAGGGCTTCATCTCAGGTTGTCAGATCATGGTGCTAATTCATAAGCAGCTAGGCTTCTGTGGTGACAGCAATGGAACTAAAGCAAAGATGACACTTTTGTTCTTAGCCAGAAAGATCCCCCAGGAGACTAAGAAGTTGGAGCTCATGTCAATCTATTTCTCAGGATATCTGGTATTTTGACTTGGCCTAAAAGAAGGTCAGATGTTAGTTCTTCCTGTATATGGTGACACCAAATCACCACATATAGTCATGGCTGTCTTGTAGAGTCTTATACTTACACAGTCTTGACTGGCTCCCTAAGACACATCACTGTGAACAACTCATGGAGTTCCTGGCAGCCCGCTCATTCCTAGGGAGACTCAAGGGCCACATTCCAGCTAATAAGGCCATGCAACTTGCTGGACAGTTCCCTTGTTTTCCCACCCCAGGTGTTTATGCAGGTAGCCAGAGGCCTGCTAAGCAGAAGAAGCCAAAGGACCTTTCAAAGATGATGGTTGTTCATGGTGGGTGAACTCCTACTGTAAATAACCAGCAGCACATCCATGAACCTATCTGGTTGGAGACACAGGCTTTCTGCTTGTCTCCAGAAGACTAACTGGAGATATTGTGACTAGATCCCAGCAAAGAACTTCAGCTATGTGACAGCCTCCTGCAGTCAGGCAGTCTGGCTGCCTTGGGCCTGCCGGCTGCCTTCCCAACTGTGTTGCCACCTGGAGCTGCTGCTGGAGTGTCCCAGCCTTGCTGCGTCTGCAGCCTTTTCCAGAGCCTTTCTGAAATGTCTCTTCCTTTCGCTCTTCTCTCTTGCCTGTACTTCTTGGTTTCATTCTTTAACTCTATTACTGGAGAAATTTGTTCTCTAAAAATACAATAGAATGTCAAGTGTCAAAATGTGTGAGACTTGGTTGAGAAGTCGTGAGTTCTCCTTCACTGAGGATATTTCAGTAGGAATTTAATGATCATGTTGGCAGTGTTGGAAATAGAATTCCTGCTGAAGTTTCAGATTGGCTTGGTAACGCCCATGAAGTCCTGTCTAACTCCAGTATATTTCACTCTGGAATTAAAATATTCTTGAAGAGCCAAATGAAAGCTTGATTTAAATTATTTTTTCAAAATTTTTTTTTTGATATATAATTGTAGATATTTTTGGGGTACATGTGATATTTTGATGCTTGTATATAATGTGTAATGATCAAATCAGGGTAATTGCGTTATCCATCACCTCAAACATTTATAATTCTTCTTGTCTGGTTATCATTAAGTTCTTTTTGCCTATGCTCAAAATAGTTCTTACCCCTTTTCATCTTCAAACAAAATAAACTAGAATAATACCATCTCCAGTACTGATCTGGTATGAATACTGTTGATTCTGATAATGGCGATAATGCTATTTACCATTATTTAAATTCCTTGGTGTACAAGACACTGTTCTAAATGTATGCATAGAGAGAAAGAGAGTGAAGGGGGAGAAAGGGAGGGAGTGAAAGGAAGACAGAGCGAGCATCCCCAGGCAAGACATATGACTAATGTTTTTGAGTAACATGAAAACGTTTATAGGTAGGTTTCATTGTCTCCACTAATGTTCAGTGTAGTTAAGTAACTTATAACACGCTTAAGTTCTCAGACAGTAAGTGAAAGAGGTGAGTTGTAAGATCACAAGTATTTATTTTTACCCTCCAGTTGGAGGTAGAAGTTGTTCAGTTATGAAACGGTAGTCTTCACAATAACTGTGCAGTCTAACATCTTATTCCCCTCAGATTTCTTTCCAAAAGATAAGAGCACTATGTCCATTCCACAGAGACATGAATGACATTTCTGCTATGACTTGCTTTGAGCTGGCCATCCCCATCCTGGTCTGTGACAGAAATACAGCACCAAGCACAAAGCAGATACCTGAGCTTGTTGCTAGAGAGACTGTTTCTAATATAGTCACAAAAAAACTGAGGGATCTATACAAATAAACACAAGGGCAGGGACAAGCTTTTGTAAAAATATTAATAGAAACAAAGTATATCTGAGAAAAAACATTATTATTCCAAACTTTCAAAAGCACCTTGGAAAAAGGGACCTTTGCAGAAGAATCAGAAGTTAGAAAGGAGGAGTAACTGGCTGGGAATGAGAAAGAGCCCTGTGGCTACATGGTGTTAGGAAGTGGGATTGTCAGCCTTAGCTCCTTCACCGACCAACTGTGTGAACTTGTTAAAGTCATAGTATCTCTCTTCACCTTAACTCCCTCACCAGTACAGTGGAGGCGTTGGTTAAAGACCTTCGCAAGTATCTTCTAGTTCTAAAGTTCTGTAATCCCAAGTGAAATTAATTTAAATCTATACTCTCGTGAGATTTTTCTATGGGGCCTCAGCATCCCTTCTTTCTTTTCCATACCCTATTGATGGAGGTTTAAGTTAGTGACAAGGACTAAGTGAAAAGTGAAAAAAAAAAAGTACAAAAAAATTTAAGACCACCTTCATAATAAATACATGTTTTTGACTTAAATTTTGTTTTGTTTTGTTTGTTTTGTTTTTGTGTGTGTGTTTTTGTAAAGACGAGGTCTCACTGTGTTGCCCAGGCTTGTCTTGAACTCCTGGGCTCAAGCAGTCCTCTCACCTCAGCCCCTCAAATTGCTGGGATTACAGGTGTGAGCCACCATGCCCAGCTTGACTTAAATTATCTTAGATTCAAAATAGCTTTGGTTTACTGGACTATTACACACATACTTTGTGCAAAATCACAGTGTGCCCTCCAGTTAGTTTGTGATTGGATAGAGGTGTTTGAGAAAATAATAATGAATTCAACTCATGATACTTCCAGGAGTGTCATAGGGGAAAAAAGACACTGTAAGTTGTATGTCTGATGAATCAAGGATAAATCGTGAATTCCGAACCAAGAGGGTGAAAAGAAAGAAGAGGGCAGGAAATGTGAACAGGGCAAAGATAAATGTCAGTGCCCTCCTGGGGGTATCCAGAGTTAATTAGATTTGATTGCTTGGGTGGGATTTTTTACATGCTACTATTTGTCTCTTTGGGGCCCTCTAGCTTCTCCTCTTTCCATTCTTCTCTGCTGCTGCCTCACTTGCCACCTCCATTCTCCCTGAGAGATAAGTAGTATTTGGGTTTTGAAAAACAGCATTGAGAACAAATTCCCAGAGCAGGTGTCAGTGGGAGTTACTTGAGCAAAATAGCTGGGGGCAGAGATTGTTCCTCAATTGCACATTCTAAAAACTGTGAGGGGGAAAATGTGTTCCATTTAGTACACATTGGATAAACTGAAGCATGTTCAATTCAGGCTGAAAATTGTCTCAGATGACTGGAAAAGTAACCCAGTAAGTCCTCGATTGTCCCAACATTGACTTGTGAGAATAGATTCTGATACCCGAAATGTGACTGGGGAAGAAGAGTACATGTGTGAAAACCTCCTTTTCATCTGAAGAGTGGAGGGGTTGACCTTGGCTCCAGGCAGCCCTGTGTCTGGGAGTTCATCACTACTCAGTCTCTGTGGATAAAGATCTCTGAGTGTTCACAGTGATCACATTCTAAGCTCAGTAGCCAGCAGCAGATCAGCAAATCTCACTCTGTCACTCAAAATCTGCCCAAAGCCATTTTTTGTTTTCATTTTCAAAGTGTCCAGGTGGCCTGACTTTCCCCATCCTATTGGCCTGGACTTCATTTTAGATCCTGCATAAATGTTTCCTTTTGGATGGGATTTGGGTCTGTTGGATGATACATATGGACATACGTAGTTATATGCACATGGATATATGCGTGTTCATTCTCATGGATTCTACATTAATGACAAACAGACCTTCTAAGATGTGACTCAATGGATAGAAACATATCTAAGGAAGATAGAGATGCCACTCTCTTATCTGATCTGCTTGTAAATTCCAGGGTAGCATCTCCCCAAGCCATAATTGATGTCTTCTTGCAAATTCAAATGCTCCCATCATGACTACCTGAGACAGGAAGAGAGGGGTAACTCCTTCCATGCACTCCTGCTGTGAGATAATGTCTTTGACAGACTGCTTGAGTACCATGGTGACAGGTACCATGGAAATAAAAGACCAGATTAAGTGTGGGAGGAACTATGTACAGGCAGAATGACTTCGAAAGAGCCTGCATTCTACGTTACGCTGGGACCTTGCTGCACGGGTCCCCTTTGCTGCACTAGAGCAGTGGAGGATAATTATTCTTGCATATCAGCCCAAGAGCACAGTGTCCCGCAGCTCTCTGGGTCTGAGTTGTCTGCTTCAGGGGCAGGTCATCAGGAAGAGCCATGTGCGTGGCTTTGCCAATCCCCATGTGCTGGACACATCACACAGCTTGGTAATGCTCATTGTTTTTCTGTTGTTTCTCTCCTCAAGGTATTTGGAAACATAAAATTAGATGAGGAGAGTCACATCAACCGGCACAACAACTTCCGGAGTTTCTTTGGGTCCCTAATGCTACTCTTCAGGTACCTGGATGCATAACTGTCGTAGCTGGAGTTCTCCTGATGGGGGGAGAGAGAATCAGTCTACCTCTTCGTCCCATTTCCCATTGTATCTTTATTCCACTTCCTTTGCTCCTGTCAGTAGAAGGGGGAATGGGCAATGTCTTTGCCAGACTGCCCCATAACATTAGAAAGTTTCGTCTTGTCTACAGTCATACCACCATGAATGTGCCTGATCTTGTCTGATCTCGGAAGCTAAGCAGAGTTGGGTCTGCTAAATACTTGGGTGGGAGAAAATTTCATCAATGTCTTTGGCTCAGCAGTTAATTTGCAAATTTTAACTTCAACATGGCCTGCAAGGGTTTGGGAGGGGGGAATATCAGGACAGTGTTTGCAGACCAAATTCCACTTAAGGGCCAAAACCTTGGATAGCCAGGTGTATGTGGGGTCTTAGAGAATCCCACAACTAGTAGCAGAGACCCCACAAAAGATGGAAAGGCAGTGGATGTGGTAGCAGAACCCAAAACAGACCTCAATGGGACTCTTTATCTCTGCATGGAAACCACTAGAAGGGGAGAACTGGGTAAAAAGGGAGCCTGTTGGGCCCAGGCAAGAGCAAGGATGGGGGAATTGGGAAAGAGGAACAAGGGTGTAATAGGATCTGCAGACCTGTTCCTGCTAACCAAAATGTCTCTTGGGCTCAGGAGTGCCACAGGTGAGGCCTGGCAGGAGATTATGCTGTCATGCCTCGGGGAGAAGGGCTGTGAGCCTGACACCACCGCACCCTCAGGGCAGAACGAGAACGAGCGCTGCGGCACCGATCTGGCCTACGTGTACTTTGTCTCCTTCATCTTCTTCTGCTCCTTCTTGGTGAGCAACATTGTGCTCTTGCCTTGCGATATGGCCCATCCCATCCTACCCCCAACCCTCTGATACACAGACAGGAGATGTTTACTTCAGTGTATGTTTGTACTTCCCTCCCCTCCTATCCCCCTCTCTCCACACCCCCACCATGCACACACTCACACCCAGGCCCAGGTTAAGAACTAGATCGTCCTTTGGAGAACTCTTGGAGCTTAGCGTGCCTGTCAGACTCCTGGATGGGTGATTTTCAATGATTAAGAAAAGTCTTTGTTGCTTCTAGGGAAATATTTTTGTGAAAAGGAAAGGTGAGCATATTTCAGTGCACTGAGCTTCATATCAAATCTATGAACACTCAGAGTAAATTCTTTGTCATATCTCAGGCATTTTATCTTATAAGTAGGTCTATGGATATATTCTCTTTGGGAGATGTTTGAACTGCTTGAGAAAAGGTACCTGAAAATGCAAGGCTATAGCATTGATAAGAGTAGAATGATGATAATGGAATAAATGTGGTTCTCTCTTGACTTGTAATGTTATTCCATTTGGTAGTTGACCAGCTGATAGATGATAAAGAATATGATTGCTTGATTGCTTTGGGTGTTAGTAAATATTGAGTAGTATATGTGGAGCACACCCACCTATAAAGTGGTGAGGAACCCTAGGTGCCTCTTAAGTCTCTTTTGGAGAAAGCATGACTCAGCACACCCACTTCCAGAAACTTCTACCCTGCGTATCAGACAAGCAGTGATAAATAGAATAATAAAGGGGCCAGTTTAGTGTTTCTGGTCACTCTGAAATTCCTCAGCTCAACTTCACTGCTAATGCCACTGGCTATACAAAAACCTAAAACTAGAACAGTGACACCACTGAAAAGTGGTCAATTTCACGACCATGCATCAAAAAGTGAATTAATTGTCTTATGTCCAGGGATTGCTACCTTGCAAGTGATCCCAAGGGGACTGAAACTTCCCACATGTCCAGGTCTCCAGTGAGGGGGTGGGCTACAGAAAGACCATTAAGTGTTGCCTGTAGGTCAGTGTGGCAGGGAGTGAGCTAACGGGAGATGTGGGCAGCCCACGCAGTAGTCTTGGCTTTGTTCCTCTGCTAGCCTTGGCCCTTTAATAGCCCTTTTATAGCATCTATAAAATGGGAGAAAAAAATGACTTAATAATAGCGTTTTATACACAATGAACTGATCCATGTGTTTTAATATACTTCCTTCTTATGTATGTGAAAGGTTTTTCAATAAAAAGAAAAGAATACACAACAGTATCTTATTTACAAATATAGAAGTATAATGTATAAAGAAAAAAATCTCTGAAATTTAGAAGAATGCTATTGATGGGAGTTTTCCGTTTATTCACATCTTCAGTACATTTTTATTGAGTGGCCATTGTGAGGTTCACTCTCAGCAAGGCCCATCCCTCAGTCACCAGTAGTCAAGGGGTCAAACTGGCTCTCAGCTTCCAGGAATCGGTGCTCACTGCTAGGGTGAAATGGAGCAGATAGAAGCACATGTAGACGTCTTACTTTTATCTCACATGGTTTAAGTGTTTCATAATAAATATTTGAAAGAAACCAAAGATAAAACTGGAAATTAATTAGAGACCATAAAGGTACTTTTGGAATTTTGAGACAGAGGGTGCTGCATAATTTACATTACTGTTATTTTTAATGAGGCTATATTCGGTATGAGATGATCTGCTTTCAGATCTATATGAGACTGCCTTTGTGACCTTGGACAAGTCACACAGCTTCTCAACTCAAACCAGCCACTCTACAGAGATTTACTGATGCCCCCACGATGTGCCCCAGGCCTTATGCTGGAAGCTAAGAATACAAATGTGAATCCAAAGCAATTCTGTCCTTGAGGGGTGATGGTAATTAAACCTGCCTCTAAAAGAGTTGGAGCAAGCGTAAAAACAAGTAATAGGTGTGACTGCACACGTTACACTCTTAATGACTGTACAAATGAAAAGCAGTAACAATGCTAATAGTTTTTGTTGACATTAATACTAGGTACCCTGAAAAGAGTACAAAAGAAATGTCTGGATACATGGGAAACCCTTTATAACCCAGGCAGTGGTTGAACAAATTCACTGTGGCTCCAACCTTAGAGGCAGAAAGACAGGCCTGTGTTGGGATTAGGTTCACCTGCATGAGACAGAAATCTCCAGATAACAGCAGCTTAACCAGGAGGGATGCTGATTTCCCTTCCATATCAGTGAAGTCTGGAGGAAGGCAGGCAGTCTGGTTATGGTGCTCCACAGGGGTGTTGGGGCCCCAGACCTACTCCTGCTTTCTGCTCCATCACCTCTGTGGTGTGTCCCTCATCCTCAAGGAAGAGGAGACACCTAGACCTCCAGCCATCCATCTCTACTCTACTCTAGGCAGCAGGAGAAAGGAAGAGTCGAGTCTGGCTGTTAGGTGTGACCAGCAGTCTGTGTATTGTAGAGAGACTCCAACCATGTCCTTCCTCCACACTGTCTCCTTATCCTGTACACCCTGTGTGCATATCTGGCACCTCTGTGCACCTGGCCACCTTGACCTGGGGGTCCACAACAGAGACTCCAGTTCTCCTACCAGTTGTTATCTATCAGGCAGGACTCTTTCACTTACAAGAGACAGAAAGCCCAGCTAAATCCAGATTCAGTAAAGTGGGATTTTACAGGCTCCTGTAAATGAGGAGTCCTGGGGCAGAGCAGGCTTAATATGGGGCTCAGATGATATCACCAGGTCCAGTTTCTCTCCGTTTACAGATCTTGCCTCCACCTTGCTCCAACCTTGTGAGTACAAATATCAACATCCCAAGATGGCTGTAGTGGCAGCTCTAGACCTCACATTTTCACACATTTAAGAGCAACAAGAAGAATTATTTTGCCCTGAAGGTTCAATACCATTTTATTAGTTTTGATGGGATCACCAACCACAGTGCCCAGGGAAATGGGATTTAATGACTAGTTGAGGCCTGGGTCACCGGAGGGTATCCCATTGAATCTCACTAACTGGGAACAGCCAAGAACCTGGGCCAGAAATACAGTGAATGGGTGAGCAGGGTAGCCAGGAAACAAGGAAACTGCTGTCGACCATCAGTGGATTCCACCTTTGTTAACTCTGCTCTGGTCCTTGCTGTCGTCCTGCCCCTGGTAGATTCAGGAGTACTGCAACATCTTTCCTTGGTTTCCCACTCACCCTACATGCTGCTACCAAGAGTTCTTTCTGAATGCAAATGTCCCTTTATCTCTCTCCTCTCTAAACCCCTTTAGTAGATCCTGTTGCTTACAGAACAGTCTAGATCAGTGGTTGGCAAACTACAGCCCTTGGGACAAATCAGGTTTACCACCTGTTTTTGTGTAGCCAGTGAAATAATGGCTTCTACATTCTTAAATGGTTGAGGAAAGAAAACAAAAGATGAATGATGTTTCATGACATAGAATTACATGGAATTCAAATTTCAGTGTCCATAAACAAAGCTTTACCAGAACACAGCCATGTTCATTTGTATACAGATGATCTATCTGGTGCTACAACAGAAAAACTGAATAGTTACAGCAGAGACCGCACAGCCTGCAGAGCCTAAAATATTTGCCATCTGACCAGTTCACTGATCCTGGTCTACACTCTTTAGCTCAGTGTATGAGATGCTTCTGTGATCCGGCACTTGGATCCAGCTGCTCTGCCCTCCTTGCAGATGCCTGGCTATTCCCTGTCCCTGCACACCTCTGTGCTGGCTCCTTTGCTAAAACACCCTCCTCCATGCCCATGTCTATCTGGTGAACGGTACTCAAGCATCAACTCTTTTATACATTTTTTCTTCAGCCAGGAGAAGTTGCCTTCACACTCCTTTTTGTCCCCACCGGAACCTGCATATGCTTCTTTCATGGCTCTTAAAATTTGTCACATTTGTATGTTTCCATTACATCACAGTCTCTACTCAATACCAAATAAGTCTTGAAGAGCATTCAAGTAACCACATCTAGTGAAGCCCTGCTGTGCTGTAAGCCCTGTGCTAGGCATGGGAATATACCTCTGGACAAGAACTTTGTTATCTCATATCTCTGGCACCTGAATCTCTGTTTGGAACATAGTAGGTGCACAGTAAAGGCTGGCTAAACAAATACATGGAAGAGTAGGGACATACAAACTGCTTTAGAGCCAAGAACAGCTTAAAGTCATCACAACAGTAGACCATGCCATCAGCTCTAAAACATCCTACTAGTTGTTCTTTGGGCTGCTTTTATGGATCAAGAATGAAGGGGGAGGCTAGGGAGGAAAGGTTGCCATCTGGCCTTGACTTCCTCTAGCCCTCAAGAATGTGATGGCTGCTGGTGGTCCCTCTCCTGCCACAGTAACAAATAAATGGAACAGATAATAAAAGTGACTGTGGGGTACTCTACAAATATGAAGTGGCATAGAAATGTAAAGTAAGAATGCTTACACAATGAAAGTGTGGTACAAATAATGAAAACGTGTTGCATTCAGCAAGATCAGTGGTGCTTGAGCTAGGAACTTCAGCCCTACAAACTTTTGAATTCTTTTCTTTGCCCTGAAGCCTGTTTTCCTGCTTCCTGAGCTCTGCTTTAGGTTTCCCCTAACCCCTGTTCTTCCCCTTGCCCTTCAGATGCTCAACCTGTTCGTGGCCGTCATCATGGACAACTTTGAGTACCTGACTCGGGACTCTTCCATCCTGGGGCCTCACCACTTGGACGAGTTTGTCCGCGTCTGGGCAGAATATGACCGAGCAGCATGGTGCGTAGGCCCCTCAGCCATCCCAGCAGGGCCCAGAGCAAAGGTCTCTGGAGTTCCCAGGGAAGAGGTCAGAATTGGAGCCACCCAAATGCCTGCCTGATGCAGAAGGAAAGGAGATTCCTCTTGATTGTGGCCCATGGAAGAGGCTCTGGTATCAAGCGAGTCACCAAAGACTTCTGAATCCTCCTTTCCCCTCTCTTTCCTTCTGTGACAGCGTTTTCCCTTCCTGGGCTGGTCTTATCACCCAGGCCTCACCTCAGATTATTTGGGTTCAATCCCAAGAGAAGTTTCCCATAATCTTTTTCTGCCAATGGTTTAGTGGACTCCTTTGAGTTACCAGGGGGTTTGACAAGGGTTTTTGGCCAGCTGGACATCTGGCCACCATGATCAGTGCCTATGAGCATTTTCTCTTTCTCACTCCTCTCAGCAGATACAGTTGGATATAACTCTGAAATTATTCTTTTTAAAAAAACCAAACAAGTTGTTCTTCCAACTGTTCCCTTAAACATTTGTGGATTTTTATTACATGGAACTAAATTAAACGGTAGGAATTGGTGAAGATAACCTCTTTACTGTCTCTCTTGCTGTTGAGTAGTTCTGAAGTGATAGCATGCCTTCTAGGCTCTAGAGCAGGGATTGGCAAACTACATCCCATGGGCAAATTGTCTATTTTTGCAAATAAAGTTTTATTGGAAGACAGCTCAACCATTCATTTATGTATTGTCTCTGGCTGCTTACATACTGCAAGGAAGAGATGAGTGATTGTGACAGAGATGGTATGGTCCTCAAATTTGAAAGTATTTACTATAGAAATATTAGGTTGGAACAAAAGTAATTGCAAGCCATTTTTGCATCAACCTATAGTTTACTGTCAAAAAATTTACTGCCAAAAACGTTTGCTAATCCCTGCTTTAGAGTATAAAGGCAGAAAATACTGCCCTTTTTTTGGCCCTCATGGCTGAGGACAAGGTGAGAGTTCTGTGAATGCTCACTCCAAAGGAACTGTCCTGTTCCAGGTCATAGCTTTTGGGTCTTAACTCACCAATCTTCTATCCATTCTGGTCCCCCTCTGAAAAATACTACAAGAAATGTTATCCTTCACAGGCATGGACCAAGTTGCTTCCACCTGGAACCCCCTTCATGATCAGAGACTTTTCCCAAAAATCTATCCTCTGGTGAGGCTGTTGAACTTGGGTCACTGTTTTACCGACTGGAAGGGTGAATCAGAATTCTTTCCTTCATTAATTATTAATGACTTAGGGTACAGAGTTATCTAAATTCATTCCTATTACAATGGCTGAGCAACAGCTTTTTCTTTCTGGTCTTACTTTCTAGTTAATAGATCTTAGAAAGCGATGGGCAGTGTGTTAGAGGAGAAGGCAGCCAGGCCTGCGTGTCTTCAGCTCCATGGCCTTGGACAAGTCACATAACCACTCTGGGCTTCTTTATCTGTAAAATGGCGATCGTGATACCTACATAACTTGCAAAGTGGTTGTGAGGATGATATTAAATCATGTGTGTAACTTATTATAATCAACAATAACCACACGGGAATGCTACTTGGAATGTCTAGAAAATCGGCCTCTGTAACCATGGATATCTATGGGATTGGGAGCCTAAGAAGGGACCTCTTCACTCACCCGAGAGGAGAAACCAACTGTGAGAAAAAAGTCCCTTGTTCATCTGGGCTCACTCAGGTATCCTTGGCTTCCAGAAACCCCAGCTTCTTGTGGTTTCACTTATCTTGGGATCCAAATGCCATGTGTATAAAGCATGCTTCTCCCTACTCATTCTAGTTGCTGGGAAGAAATGATTCCATGAGGATGAAACATGAGACTCAGACATGTGGACTGGGAAAGAGCAGAAAGACAAAGAATTTCTTCTGTGTGCTTTGAAATTCACAGTGTAACTCATTCTAGTTAGAGTTTGGTTGGCTTTCTTTATAAGGTGGGTGAGGAAGACTAACAAAAGTAACGTGAGCCAATGTCTTCAAAAGGAGGACTGATACCAGTTGCAAAAAATGTCAGTCTATAGCCACTTCCAACTCATCTACTTCCCGATCTCACTAAGGCAAAATGAAAGGACAACTGGCTAAATTACCTCAAGAGTTGGGAGACTTGGAGGTACTGATGAGCTGCTATCCGGAAGAGGAGGAGGAATCAACCCTCAAATTTCAAAAAGCCTAGAAAGAGTAAAGCTGGGCTGAAACAGTAGTCTCCATATGGCTGCCAGCAAGGACTGAATGCACAGAGGTGGAGATGGCTGTGTTGATAATTTCCAGCGGAAACCCTGGTCTGTACCAGGGTGTATACAGACCTGCAAATTCCTGGGTGTTGCTTCTTTTTCTGGACCCTGACAGAGAAGATGCTGTAGCCACTGAAAATTAATCAGTCATTAATTCTGTCCCTTCCATAGGAAGCTAGTACTCTCTAGTGGGCTCCTGGGGAAAAGGTTGGTAAGATAGCTAGAATTTTGGCTGACTCCAGCCATGCTGCTGTTGGCTGAGTGGCAGGAAGAGGGCTGGGGGGGAGAGTGTTCATGGCTTCCTCCCTGGCTGCTCTCTGAACACAGACCTCAGCAGGCTCCTACCGAGTAGAGAAGACTTGCCCAAGCTGAACACAGAAAAATCTGTCACAAAGAGAAGCAAAGCCCTTTGTGATTTCCCTCATGCCAGCTGTGCTCCTTGCTAATTAGCCTAATGGGAAATTTGTCTTTTCCAGACTGCAGAAAGCCGCTGACTTTCCACTGCCCCTGACAAGCGGGTCTGAGTAACTGACTGTAATCAGTGTCTGTGAAAAGCAAACAGTTCGCAGTCCACTTCAAGGCAGCCTGGCATCTGCTCTGGACAGCAGTCTGAGTCATTTGTGAATTGGCAGGCTTTGTTCCTAGAAGCCTAGCTAGAGCCAGGGCTGTGTCTGCATCTGGCCAGGTGTGGGCCAGATAGGTATCATGGGGTGCTCTTGGTCATTAGGCAGTTCCCTTTGGCATTGAATGGGCACTGATTTCCTTAGAAAATTGCAGCAGTACAGTTTGGCAAGGTAATGGTTCTCTGGTGCTTACTGTTTTCAGTCTCTCCTGGTCTGGCTTTGCCAGGCCCAAGGAAAGAAGCTGCTCTGACCTCTTTCAGCCATCCTCTTCATGGCTAAGCTGTCATTTATTTCCCACCCTTCTCTGAGTGTCCTATTAACCCACCTGTGCTTCCTTTACAGCGGCAGGATCCCGTATAAGGATATGTACAAATTAGTGCGGGTGATCTCGCCTCCTCTGGGCCTGGGAGAGAACTGCCCCTACAGGGTGGCTTGCAAGGTTTGCCTCCCAGTCCCCAGCCATGACCTGCCGTGGGATGCAACATCTAACCCCTCCTCTCTGTCCTCTGCTCCACCACCACTGTGCCACATGAGGGAACCTTCATGTTGCTTTCCTTTGAGTTTAAAGAGGTCCAAACCCTTCCAGAACCAGCAGCTGTTATATAAGCAGAAGGGTATACTTTGGGGAAAAGGCAGAAGAGTTAAGAACTTCATATGAAGACCAATGTGATCACTCTCTTCTTCACATGCACACACTCATGTATGTGTGTGTATGTACATGTATACACACCACACACACACACACACACACACACACACACAGGTCCACCTTAGTCTGTATAATCAGAGGGACCTCTCCTTTCTCTATAGAATGCAGAAATGTTTTTAACCCAGCAAAAGAATTCTGGCTTATTTTCACTGGAGACAGAGAAGCCTCGTTTTAGCAAAATAGCGTCATCATCCCATATGTAACGTATGGAGTATGATCCCAGTGATCCCCCCTCCCAGCTCCTGGATGGTCTGGTCAGAATGACTATGAAAGCTATAGGACAGAAGGGGTGAGAAACAAAGAATTAGGGCAAGAGGTGAGAGTAGGTAAAAGAGGCATGGATTTGGTGCTGTGTGGAAGAAGGTAGTAATAGCTCAGAGAGTCTGGGAAGATCACAGTGAATGAAGCACTCCTGAGCAGAGTCCATGCCTTAGGTTCCTGCCATGGGTTGCTGTGAGGGATCTGAAAGGGCTGTCATAATTTCCAAGTCACTTCTTTGTCAGACCAAGGATATTGTTCAGGGGTGAGTAGAACCTCCCTGCTCAACTCTGCCATACCCAGAGAACTCTCTATATCCCAATGGCTCTACTAAGCCCCTATGTAAGGCCAAGCCTGCTAGGTAAGGAACCCTCTCCTGGTGCAAGTGGAGAGAAGCATGGGCTCCCTGGGGCATAGCACTGCCCAGGCAGCTGGAAGATGACCTAGGCTTAGGAAGGATGCCAGCCTGGACAATGGGATACAGCTGGCCTGGGATGGTGACACAGTGATTCCGTACTCAGGAGGCTGGACAGCTGCCTCTGCTGAGACTCTTTAAACTCCACCCTGGTGAAACCCGCAGCCGCATGTGGGAGAGCTGGGGAGGGTAGCATGGCATGCAAGATGCTCTTCCTCCTCCTGTTTTTGTTTCTTCTGTCCCCAGCATGCCATCGACCTGGCACATGCTGGGGAATAAAGAGCAGTCTTGTCCACAGAGCCAGGTGGAAGCAACGGGGCCAACTCTTTGAGCAGCAAGCACAGCCCACCACCTTCAGTGCAAGACGCCGCCTCCTGCTGCACACACACCACAGAGGGGGGATACACGACGTTCTGCCTGTGGGTTCAGTGGAGAATAGCCTGACTTTCAGGCCAGCGCCCCAGCCGGGGTCAGAAACTCCAACCCATGGCTGGAGCACCGTCTATCCGGTTTATACCGCTCACACACAGCCCTGGGAATTGAAAATAAGCTGTGCTGTATTGAGGAGGGATGAAGTGAACAGGGAAGTCAGGGGAATGCTAATCGAGGAGAAAATGAGTCCCCGTGACTGTTCCCATGGAGAGTCATAGGGACCGAAGGTTGCCACCAGTGTTCCTGGGTCTGTGTGGGGCATGATATAAACCGCACCAGGATGGAGTCATGTCTACGATTTGCCTTGATTAACAGGTTTCCTATTCTTTTCCCGTTTGTCCATTTTGTTTTGTTTTTCTTCTCCTGTTTTCTGTATTTTGTTCGTTTTTGCTCTCTGGGAATGCCTGTTCTCCTCTCCTACCTGTCTGCATCCTTCGCCCCACTTCCTTCTCCTTTCCCTGCCACCTCCCTGCCCCGCTAACCCTCCCCATCCCAACTCACCACCCTCCATGAGCAGTGGCCGCATCCATTACACTGAGATGTATGAAATGCTGACTCTCATGTCACCTCCGCTAGGCCTCGGCAAGAGATGTCCCTCCAAAGTGGCATATAAGGTAGACCACCCCTTCTTTGTTCTGGGCTAGAGACCAACAGGAAATGGGATCTAGCTGTGGGGAGGCCAGAAGATGGGGAGGAAGCCAGGCTGGGGAGGCGGAGGAGGGAACTAAGGAGGAAAGGCACGATGAGACTGAAGAGTCAGGAAGGTTCCCAGGACGAAGTCATGAGATAATACAAGGAATGGTTTTTAATACTGTTCAACATGTTTTTTTATGTGGTATTTTGTGTTTCTACAACTGTGTGGCTTCTTGTGAGTGAGTTACCTGACAAGCAGTGTTAAGTGATGTGTTTCCTTTTAGAGGAGGCAGAGTGGTGGCCTATGGGATGGCATATATGGGCAAGAAGGAAGCCGACAGCAAAACAGCTATCAGTGCTCATATGCAAAGAAATATCTTTAATCAGATAAATTAAGGAAATCATGCAGAAATTCCTTTATACATGGAATTGTTAGGAGAAAATTACTTTAAACAAGAAATTTTTAGGAGAGAGGAAAACTCATAACAAATGTTTTCACCTATGACATAGGAAGAATGGCATAGGTTCCTTCTAGGTCTAAGAAGAAAAGAGGAACCTGTCTTCCATCCTATGATAGACTAAGGAATGCAGCTCTATCCCACTAACCCAGCTACCCAATTCTCTTGGAAATACTCAAAATGAAGGGGAATCATGGGCACAAGTTGTATTCAGCATTAAATCTGACTTACTGGCATAACATAGTTATGGGGCCTGGCCCCGGAGTTGTGGGTGGATTCCCCCATGGCTTGCTGCTTAGAGATTATACACACTGGGAGTCATTTGCCCTTGGGGTGCTCATAGCTTTCGGACATGAGTTGTTTTGCCACCCATTAGTAATAGTTACTGTCAGTTCCCCTTTGCTATTTAGACTGACCCAGAACTCTGGAGCTCTTTCATTTACCTAGGAACACATCATAGTAATGTTTCCACTCCTCTAGATGTTTAAAGAAGTGGGAGAGAGATGGAACTCAAATCCAAACAAGAAACTGGCTTTCCACTCTAAGACACCATGTGGCATCAGCTTTAGGCAGGATGCTGCAATGGAACGTTAGAGATCCTTCTTTGGGAAGAGGTACTTCCCTCTCTGCCAGGCTGGTGGTTCTGCCAGAGGACATTCTCCTGCTGCTACCTCAAGTTGTATGGCCCCAGAGAGCATCTCACTGGAACATGGCCATTAGGGACCCTCATTCCTCCCAGTACATGGCTCCTCGTGCACAGCTTAGGGGCTGGCATCCTTTTTGCTCACAATGGCCACATCCAAAAGTACCAGGTGGTAGAATGTGGCCTTGAATTTGTACATCTGGGATGAAGCTTAGTGGGAGAAGGGGAGCGGGGATTGGAGGAAAAGTAAAAGAACTCCAAAAGCAAGATACTCTCTGGAAAGTGGATTTGGCCATTTCAGTGTGATCCCTTTCTTTGGGTGAGGGGAACAAGGCCTGCCCACTCTGCTCCTGCCTGGGCCACCCTTCTCTCATTCTGTCTTCTCCGCTCTCCCCATCCTCCTACCCCAGAGCCTGTTTGCACTCTCCCCCTCGTTCACCCTGCTCCACCTCATCCTTTAGACAAGTTGGACTTATGCATGTTCAATCATGTGCTGGCAAATTTCATCTATTAAAGACTCAAAAAAGGGGGCACCAGGATGCATCTTTCAAGTTAGATAAGCAAAGCAAAATCTCATTTCTGACTGTATTTCCATGTGAGTTTCAGGGGGTATTCATGGGACAAGTGGAAATATGGAGCAGCCCTGAACAGGGAATGGAGCCACCTCCCAGAGCTGGCTCCTTTCCTTGAGACACTTCTTTTAGAAATCACTTCCCATCCCTATCAAAGACATTCTTAGGACTCCATTGGGGGAGCCCTACAGAATGATTAGGGAAGCTCCTTCCCTTTGGAATTTGGCATCATTCCCTCAGTGGAGAAAAAACAAACTCAAAAAAAAAAAAAAAAAAGAAAGCAGCAAATAAGCCTTCAGTGAGAAGCAGGGAGAGAAGGACTGGGGCAGGGGATGGGGATCCTTGCCCTTCTTTTTTGTCTGTGCATTTGACCTCTGCCCTTTTCTTCCTTTCTCACTAAGGTGTCTTTCAATTTTTTTTTTTTTTTGCCTGCTGTTTCTTTTTTCTCTTTCACACAGAGGTTGGTCCTGATGAACATGCCAGTAGCTGAGGACATGACGGTCCACTTCACCTCCACACTTATGGCTTTGATCCGGACAGCTCTGGACATTAAAATTGCCAAAGGTAAGCTTAGGCAGGGAGGTGGGAAGGAGGAATTCTGGAACAACTCATGCAGGTGGCACAGGATGGAGATATTTGAACTGTCATCTATCCAGCTAAGGATACAACAATGCAGTCATCTGAACATCAAGTATCTGACTCAACTAATATTTACCATTTTCTTCTGGTACAATGAATGGTTTGATCATCTCCAGGGCTTCTTTCAGCTTTAAAAGTAATGATCTTCAGTGTCTGGCTCACAATAGGTATTCTAGAAATATTTATTGACCAAAGGTTAATTTTGTCCTTTTTTTTTCCATATATGGTTCATTTTTCTGAAGTCTTGAGAGGCGTCTGTGGCAGAAGGTGCTGTCATAGAGGCCACGGTAGTGTTTTATTCCTCTTGATTTCTAATCATTGGTTTAGGAGAGAACAGGTTTACTACTACCTCCAGGTGGACCTTTAGCCTTTCTGCTCTTGTGCAATCTAAATCCTTTTTAAAATCAGATCACTCAGACTATGGAGTTAGGGTTGCTGGAAGGATTGCAGTATGGATAAGAAGGCAGAGGAATGTACTTGCGGCTGATACACTGAGCACCCGGGAGGCTTTTAGAATGAATGAGGAAGTTGCTCTTAGTCTGAGGGTCTTGGATCTCTTGGCAGAATATCCCTGAGTCACTGAAAACGGGAGCCAAAATGTGTTCTGCTTCTTCAGCAGAAAGATCTGGTATTGCAAGATCCACTGTCACTAAGTGCCAAGATTTCTTCTTAAAATATGAGGTGCCCTGCTGATTCAGCTCCTACCTCCACCTTTTCCCTCAGTCCTGGTTATTTCCGGGTCTATTCTATTTATTAGTAATTTATCTTATTCTAGGTGGTGCAGACAGGCAGCAGCTAGACTCAGAGCTACAAAAGGAGACCCTAGCCATCTGGCCTCACCTATCCCAGAAGATGCTGGATCTGCTTGTGCCCATGCCCAAAGGTTTGGGTCTTCTCCTGGGTATCCTTGTCACTGTGGGCCCAGCAAATGAAGGCTACGTCTTTTGGGGGAACCCAGAGTGATCAAAGAGATAAGGGAAGTTTGCCCTTTTATCCTTAAGTCCCTTTTGTGCTTATTAATTGAAAACATGTTCTTTAAGATAGGTCACTGTGGTTATGGATGAGACTTCCTGGGTGTATAGCTCCTTCCTTCCACATAATACTCCTCAGCAAACCCTCATGGGAGAAAGGATGTTGTCACTTAGCTATAGAGATTTAGAATGGTAGGCGTGATGCTTACTCATGTACTGCTTATCCTCAGTATCATCACCATCACTAGGTGGGCATGCAAGCCCCCTGAGGACAGATCAGGGGACCTATGCACTCTGCATCCTCAGATCCTGGGACCATGGGGACCCTCAATATATGCTGGATGAATGGGTGACTGACAGCGCAGACCTGTTCCAGAGAGTGGGTAACAAAGCTTAGAGGCTCCTCACTCTATCCCATCATCTTCTCCCTCTTCACCATCGTGCCACATTTGTGTTTTTAGCCTCTGACCTGACTGTGGGCAAAATCTATGCAGCAATGATGATCATGGACTACTATAAGCAGAGTAAGGTGAAGAAGCAGAGGCAGCAGCTGGAGGAACAGGTGAAGGTCAATGCCAGCATGCTAAGTGGGTGGGCCACGAGGAGTTGCAGGAGGGGATAGGCCTGTGCATCCCTGGGGCATAGTGCCCTGCAAGGACTTAGAAGCAGCAGTAATGGGTGCAGGGCCCAAGAACTTTGTAGTGACGTGGAATTAGAAACCCAGTGGATCAAAGGTTAAAATGGTCAAACAAGGGATAAATTATGTGCCTGTATTATCCATGTAAATTGTATTTTCCCCATAGCAAACTCCGTAGTGATTGGAATTCTTTTCTTCTCCTTCCCTCTTTTTACCCAGAAAAATGCCCCCATGTTCCAACGCATGGAGCCCTCATCTCTGCCTCAGGAGATCATTGCTAATGCCAAAGCCCTGCCTTACCTCCAGCAGGACCCCGTTTCAGGCCTGTGAGTAGCACCAAAACATCCCTGGCATGGCTGCTTGCAATCTGTCACCCATGCTGTTGTGCAGACCCCAAAACTCACTGCTCAGAAGGGCCCAAGAACGAACACTCTGAGCTTGAGTGATCGTTTTTCTGAGGTTGAATATCTTAAAATGATTTTCAGCAGGAGTAAGAGAAAAGCAGACTAAGCATACTTAGCACTGTGGTCAGCATCAGAGACGGCGATCACTGTGAATGAACAATAGAAGAAGGGAGTTTCACTTGTCTTTTAATATACTTGGGTCTTAGTTGTAGTTCTGTTGCGAAGAAGACTAATCTCCTCTCTAATTCTTGGCTATCGCTTCCCTGTGGATCTAGTGTGCTGCTGGAAGATAGAGCCTCCCTCACGGGTGCCATGCTGGCTGAGTGTAAGAGAACCAGTAGTAACTGCTTTCCCTGAGGTTGACACTTCTAGAGACACTATTTGCAGGATCTCACTTGATTCCCACTCTAGCAGCCTACTATACCCTGGAGGTATATATTAATATCACCACTTTACACATGAAGAAACTGGAGACTAACTGAGGTTAACTACGTTGCCTAAAGTCATGGCTAGTAGAATGTGGAGCTGAAATTTAAGTTCCTTATTTCTGACCCCAGAGTGTTTTCCCTACACCATGTTTTCTTTAATAAACAAAAGGGACCTTATTCAGAAAGGGACCTTACTTTTTCTATAATAGGAGTGAAAATAAAACACAAATGAAGGAATTTTCCCATCCTTCTGAGTGATAAGCCTTAGCCCCAATTAATCTACTATAGCATATGTATCTCATAACATTGTATTTCTGTCATCAGCATTTAGTGTGCACCCAAAGAACACAGTCTTTCTACTCAATGTAAATGAGCTTTTGTGATTGGATTTAACAAAGTCCCAGTTCTTACAAAACCAGGAATCACCAAATCACGTTTTTTGTTTTTTGTTTTTTGTTTTGAGACGGAGTCTTGCTCTGTTGCCCAGGCCAGAGTGCAGTGGCACCATCTCGGCTCACTGCAAGCTCTGCCTCCCGGGTTCACGCCATTCTCCTGCCTCAGCCTCCTGAGTAGCTGGGACTACAGGCGCCCGCCACCACACCCGGCTAATTTTTTGTGTTTTTAGTAGAGGCGGGGTTTCACAGTGTTCACCAGGATGGTCTCGATCTCCTGACCTCATGATCCACCCGCCTCGGCTTCCCAGAGTGCTGGGACTACAGGCATGAGCCACCGCGCCCGGCCCAAATCGCATATCTTAATTACTAAGAGAGTGATACCCAGGACTTGGGAATGAGACCTCTGTCAGAGTCATTTGGAATTGCTCAGATCATTTCTTTCTTTCTGCCTGTGGTGCTGGAGATCTGTTTTTGAAAAGCACTGCTTTCAGATATCAAAGTCCAACACCTTTGGAAGAGAAGACAAGACGAAGAGTCATGACCAAGGCCATTGGTTTATATATATATATAATTTGATATATATACTATATATGTGTATATATGTGTGTGTGTGTGTGTGTGTGTGTGTATATATATATAATTTGATGTGATGAAGTGCAGGGTGTGAATTCTCCTGTCCACAGAAAACAAGTCAGTGTTTATCCTCTGCTTGTGTAGGAGGGAGGGAGGGAGAAAGGAAGTACGATCGGAACAGTGGGACCTCTCCACTGGAAGGGTTTATGCTGTTTTTTGTTTGTTTTTTGTTTTGCCAGTCCTTGGCTTAGAAATGGGGGACACACCCCCTAAATTGCAATCTCTGTTTTATCTACATTTTGCTATACAAATTAACCCCCCACCATAGGATCACTCTGGCTTTTCTCCCATATATTTATTGATCCATTTACTCATTGATTTTTACCAATATTTTTTAAGAGCCAATATGGCCCCAGAGCTGGCTTAGGCACTGGGGCTACGGCAGAGAACAGGTCCCTATGGAGACAAATCTGGAAGAAGAAATTACAAGAACAATACAGGCAAACAATGCTGAAGGGTGGGCTGTTGTGATGTCATGGAAACAGCTCACCCAGTTTGAGGGTTTAGAGAGGCCTTCCTGAGGAAGTAACATTTGAGTGAGACTTGAAGACAAGCTCTTCAAGAGTGGTAAGAAAAAGTATGGTAAGTTTAAGGAACCTAAAATCTGTCATGATGGTTGGAGCATGGAGAGCTCAGAGGATGTGTTAAGTTACAGATTTGGAGAGATACACAGGGGCTAGTATTTTGGGGGCATTATAAGCAGGACAAAGAGGTTGGATTTTGTCTTAGGATAATGGGGTTTTATGCATCACAATGATGTGATCAGATGTGTGCTTTTTAAAATTCAGTATAGACTAAAGGGATTGGAGGGAAGCAATTCTAGAGGCAGGAACACAATTTCGTAGGTTATTACAGTTGTGTAAATTATCAGTGAGAGTAGCTTGGACTAGCAAGATGGAGACAGATGGTCAGATGTGAGATATTTGGTAGATAGACTGGATAGGATTTGGTGATTGATTTGCTACTTGGACTAAAGGGGAAGGAGGAAGCAGAAGATTCGGGGGTGAAGCCTTTGGTAGGTGCATGTTGGTATATTTCCTGACATGGGGACACTGGTGGACCAGCAGGCTGGTTCCTCAGAACTGTGTTTCTAGAGCAATGCATCATTGTTCAGTAGAGGTTGATCTAGGAGTACAGTGGTAGACATAACAGATAGGGTCACTCCCTCAAATATGATGGAAAACCAGACATTAAACAGAGAGACATTGGAAAGAAGAAAAGTTGCATTTTCAGTGATTTAATTACGGAAAGAGTTTACAGGGCGGTAGGGAGTTGGAGTGAAGTGTTCTGCACCCTTGGAGTTGCCTCTATTAAAATCTCGAGGCAGAAACAAGCCTAGCCTATCCAATGAACTAAAAGAGGCTGGCGTGTCTCGAATTCAGGGAGCAAAGGGGAAAGTGGTATGAGAGGAGGTTAGTGAGGTAGGGACCAGATCGCGAGGGAGGCTGTGTTCAGAATTCTGGATTCTGTGCCCCAGCTTGACAAGGTTTTCAAAGTAGGAGATCACTCTGGCTTCTGGTTATTCAACTCTGTTAAGTGATTCCAAGGGTCCTTTCCCTCTCTTGAGGATTCTATAATTATTTACTCTCTGTAGGACAAAAAGGAACCCATTTCTTTCTTTCTGAGACATGATCTCACTCTGTTGCCCAGACTGGACTACAGTGGCACAATCGGCTCACTGCAGCCTCGACTTCCTGGGCTCAAGTGAATCTCCTGCCTTTGCCTCCTGTGCAGCTAAGACCACCCCAGGCATGTGTTATCACTGCTGGCTAATTTTTTTTATAGAGACAGGTCTCGCTTTGTTGCCCAGGTTGGTCTCGGACTCCTGAGCTGAAGCTATCGTCCTGGTTTGGCCTTCCAGAGTGCTAAGAGTACAGGTGTGAGCCACAGTGCAAAGCCGAGAACTCATTCTTTTACTGGCTGTGCTCAATCTTATTCCCAGTGGTTCTCAGGAGATGCCACCGTGAGGAAGATGACTGACATTAGGCAGGTCATTTAAATATCGTGAAAACTCAGCAAAAGCTGTCACTGGAAGCAAGCGGACAGATTAGGTGACTCTGCTCTTCACCTTCTTCTACAGAGGAAGACTCTGATCTTCCTCTGTAATCTAAAATTCATACCTATGGATTGTTTTTAAGTAACTGGCAATCCTTGCTCATGCCTTGAGTTTTCCATTGGATGCAGTCATTAGCAGTAGACTTAAAAGAAATGGTATCCCATCTCTCCCTCCTAGCTCCACCACCAAGAGAGCTGCTACCCAGCCACTTACCCCGTCCTTCCTGCCATACTCTGGAAGCTCACTCTGCGTTCTTGAGCAGGTGAGATGGTAGCTATTACCATACTGGTGGCAGTCAGCCAATAATTTGGCAACAGGCACCACATTCTCCAGAAAGCTTGGCTGCTTCTTTCTCTCCTAACCAGCCCAGTGGATTCCCCCATCAGGTTAAGAGTGTCTGGAAGTACTAGACAGTGGTTTAACAACAAGCCTACTGTGCCAGTTCTCCATTCTTTTCCCTTGGAGGCCTCTAAACAACTGGGCAGACTTTGTCTCTGTCCTCTTTTCTCTCCACCATTTAAACCTCTTCCTACATTGCCATCAACCAAGAGGTTTTCATCTCATCACCACATCAGAACTCCTTCTCAGTTCACGAACCAACAGACTTAATGTATGGTACACAGTAGTCCTTCAATAAATGGCAATGGAATTGGACTGAATTGTTTTGTTCAGCCAGGGATGTTGGCAAAACAAGACCACATTCTTACTGTGAGTAGGGAAAAATTTTTAAAAGACCATGGCTGCTTAATACTGAAACAAACTGTTCACTGCGTAAACTAGGGTGTTTCTCTGCCAAATGGGGAAACTGAGCAGAAACAGGTTTACAATCTAGCATTGGTTTTCCATATGGCTGAGTGTGACAAATGATGTCATTTGTCATAGATATGCTAGTCCTCAGAATAATGAATGGTTCCAAAGGCAGGATGCAGGTTGAAAACACCAGTCTCTGTCTTTTCCAGTGCTTTTTTTTTTTTTTTAATTTCAGGACTAGCCATGTGTAAGTTACTAGGTTTACAAAAGCCAGTCAAGGCTAAAGGGTGTTGCCCTACTGGAGTGGGAACTGCTAGTGGCAGCCGTGACATTACTGTCCCTCATTACTTCTGGATTTGACATTGCTTTTCAGGAGTGGCCGGAGTGGATACCCTTCGATGAGTCCACTCTCTCCCCAGGAGATATTCCAGTTGGCTTGTATGGACCCCGCCGATGATGGACAGTTCCAGGAACAGCAGTCTCTGGTGAATGCATGAGTTATATGACCTCAAAAATACTTCCGTGGTTTCCTAATCCCTCTTGCTAATTTTAATACATAGTCATGGTCCGTCAGGAATATCCATTCTGGTAGTTTAGCCAATTGCCCTGGAGGTGTCCTGCCTTAGCCCTTTTCTAGCCCAGTTTCTCATGTGCTCTGACAATGTTCCCTCTTTAGGTTTTATAGTCCCAGAGGTCCCTTCCCTGCAGCAGGAACTTAAATTGCTTTAGGCCAAGCCCTCTTTGTTTATGGCCCTGAGTATCAAGTGTAAGACCAGAAGTCACATACAAAATCTTGCCTTTGATGGGAAGCTTGAAGATGCATCACCAGAGAATGAGTGACACCAACCCTGCCTCTTAGTGTACCTAGGTACAGCTTGTGGGACACACGAATGCCCCATACCATTCCTTAGTGATGCCCACCTCCTCTAGAACCTAGCAGCAGCATGTGCCACAGTGACAAGCTCCCTGCCAGGAGGCACAGAAGACTGTCCTACCTCTGCTCTGTGTGGGTTCAGTCACATTGTCCCTTTTGGTCACAATTCAAAGACATTGTAACAGGCCACTAAAGTCACTTCCCTGACCCCAAAATGAGTTTATTAGCATAAATGGTAAAATTCCTGGCCGGGCACAATGGCTCACACCTATAATCCCAGCACTTTGGGAGGCTGAGGCTGGTGGATGACGAGGTCAGGAGATTGAGACCATCCTGGCTAACACAGTGAAACCCCATCTCTACTAAAAATACAAAAAAATTAGCTGCCGTGGTGGCGGGCGCCTGTAGTCCCAGCTACTGGGAAGGCTGAGGCAGGAGAATGGCGTGAACCTGGGAGGTGGAGGTTGCAGGGAGCCGAGATCGTGCCACTGCACTCTAGCCTAGACGACAGAGCGAGACTCCATCTCAAAAAAAAAAAACCAAAAATTCCTGAGAGACCTATTGAGTCAAGTGAAAGCTTGAAGAAGAGAGGAGAGATTGAAGTTTTGGCTTAGCTAATACAAAGCTAAAATATGGTTCCTAAACATTGACTTTACCATTATTCCTGGTTCAGGAGCCATGAGCTCAAGGTCCCCCACCCCAACCTCAGCTTAGAATTGAAGCCCAAGCAGTCATTGGACTGAAAAGAAAAAAAGACAAAACCCAACCATTGCAAAAGTCTGTACAGACAGCTTGTACTAAGTGAGTTCCATATCATTTAAATTCTGATTCAGCTGTGGCTCTTCTCTCCCCTTCATTTCTCCCCTGATCCCTCCCTGCTGCTACTGTGTGCCTCAGAGCCACCCTGAATGAATGACGTGTGATGGAATGGGCACCCCCTCAGAGGGCGAAAAACACTCAGTGGCTCAAACAAATGTATTATTCTGTCTCCTGCGAGTGCTGAGACAGAGAATCGTGCATGGTTGTGTGGGGGAAGACAGTTTGTCCAGACACCCCCAGGGCTGAGTGAGTGACTGCCTGAGGGTGTTCTTGATGAGGCGGGTAGGAACTCGTGGAGTCATTCTCTGCCCTCCCCTCTGAGGAACTTAGCACCAAGACCTGTGGAATAATTGGTACAGATAGTTTGATTCTTAAAAGGCCTCACAGCATTTTGCCTGCCTGGGGATGTGTCTAGTGGGAAAAAAATTGCAATAATGTGTCCTTTTTTTCACAGGGAGACTTTATGACATCATTTCTGCGGGTTCCCCAGGGCTGAGCCATAGTGCCAGGACTTTTTGGATATGTGTTCATCTCATTGTCAGTACTGGTGTCTGTAATTCAATTCAGGTGTCAGCCTGTGCTACACACTCACCACTGTGTACTTCTGCCCATCCCTCGGGGCCGCTGCTCCATGTCCCGAGGCGTGGCCGTGATTGTGTGTGTGCATATGGAGTGTGCGTCTCACACCACCTCTGATACCTGTAGACTGCAGTGTTGTTACCACGTCTGTTTGGAGTCGGAACTGTGTGCTGTATAAAGCATGTACTACAAACACTGTAACTCCCTCAAGAGCACCATAGCACATATCTTGGGAAAGTACCCCTCCCATACACACCGGAAACCACTCAGCCAAATGGTCACAGACGCTAAGGTGGGGGTCCCAGACATTTTCTTTTGGGCAATGCCCTACATGTTTTGAGGATGTCATTTCCTAAATATAAAATAGCTTTTTCTGGTACTATCTCCATCTGCCCAAGATGTTCTTAGATCTTTTAGTTGGGTAGCCCACGTAAACATCTCCCATACGGCTCTTTATGCAATGATACTAGCTATCTGTATAGAGCATGCACGACTGCCAAGCTAACATTCTTTAACCAGGAAACTAACAAAAATGACAGAACCTTAGAGATTTGCAGTCCAACCTAATAACATTCTAGGCTGGCACAGCCCAAAACAATAGCTCTTAGCCACGTGTGGCTAGTGCAAATAAAATATAAACTATCTGATTTTTATATTGATTACATGTTGACATGCTAATATTTGGATATATTCAATGTTATTAAATTTCTTTTCACCTTTTACAACATGGTTACTTGGACATTTAAAATTCTGCAAGTGGCTTGCATCATCCTTCCATGGGACTGTGTTACTCAGGGCATCCCTGACAGCCACCCACCACATCTTTGGATGGTTTCAATCAGAAGAAAACTCTTAAAGTCCTGTGTCTTAAGGCTTGAGAAGACATAGTTGACATCAGAAATTGTTGACTTCCCTTAGAATACTGGTTTCCATTTAATTGATAAAAGTCTTCTTCAGATTAAAAGAAAAATCCAATGCTACCACTTCTTGAAAGCGAACTTCACATATCTGAAAAGTATTATACCCAACAGTATTTGTTGCAGAAAACAATAAAATCTGAATCATTGCTTAGTGATGAAAAATAGGTGACCTTCAGCACTCAATCCCAGCTAGAGCTTCCTGTCTGGAACATATAGCGCATAGGTGCACACAAAAACACACATACACATACAACTGAGACCTTACTTAAAGCTGCAAGTCTCTCTTTTGAAAGTCATTCTTGAGGAGGCTGAATTGTCCACTGGACGTGAGAAGCAATGAGATGAAACCAAGTCCCACAAGCTTGGCTGTGTGTTTATTTCCAGGAGCCAGAGGTTAGTGAATTAAAAAGCGTGCAGCCCTCTAACCATGGCATCTACCTTCCTTCGGACACCCAGGAGCATGCGGGATCTGGGAGGGCATCCTCTATGCCACGTCTGACTGTGGATCCCCAGGTAAAAAGCAACCACCTACCTTAATGCAGTGGCATCCGGGCTGTATTAGCTGGGTTATGGAATAATATCTGATATTTGCAGGTGAGCCCTTGACTTGCCCGCACCCCTTCCCTATAAATAAAACCTGGCTCATGGGCCTTCTCTAATAGAGCCTGCTCCTCCAGTGTTTTCAGTGACCCCCTAACCACAACAGCCCAGCCAACAAAATTGCATACCTCACTCTGGACGGGCTATACATCCTCAAGATTCAACCAGCCATGCAAGAAATATTTTCCAGGATTTTCTCTGTGTACTTTTCCATCCTTTTTTCGTTTCCTGACTCCTCCAGCACATATGCAGTTACTTACACACACAGGTCTGTGTCAGGACTGTCTGTCCTAACCAGTGCAGGCCACGCCTCATTTCTTTGTCTGTTTTCCTGGCTGCTTTCTCCTTTCTGTCTGTCTTACATCAGGTTTTGACAGAGACAAGAAGTTTTTGTGGATTTGTTTTAATATGTGTGGCAAATCAAAATGCCGAAATTTAAAATGGGGCTAGGTGGGATTGATGGCAGCAGAGCGAGAGTGATACATGCTTAGCACTTGTTAAATTGCAAGCTGTCCTAGGCTGAAGAGCAGAAGGGCAGGTACTTCTCTGGCAAGGGCATTAAAAAAAAAAAAAAAGCAAAGCTATGTTTCTTTCATGGGGTAGCCTCTTAGACAATTGCCGTCACATGTTTCAAAGCAGCACGGTATTTGCTGCAGCCCGGCTGTGCCCATGGTAGAGGACTCTGTGGGAGCTTGCACAGTGCCTGCCTGCATTCTGCTTGGCTTTGTACACTCAGCTACAGGAAGAGAAGATCCTGGACCATTTCCAGTGACTATGTTAACATAACGTAAGGATACTTTCTTGAACAGTGTCCACCAGCTAAGGTTTGAGCAAGAGAGATTCAAAAGAAGTTACCATTTGCAGGGGTTACAGTTTGCCTTCCTCAACGTCTCAGTCTTGCCGCTTCTGTCCTTTTAGATCTTTTCAATCATTAATCCATACCTTGTGTTTCTCTGGGGGCTTGTATTTCCAGGTGGTGACAGACCCTAGCTCCATGAGACGTTCATTTTCCACTATTCGGGATAAGCGTTCAAATTCCTCGTGGTTGGAGGAATTCTCCATGGAGCGAAGCAGTGAAAATACCTACAAGTCCCGTCGCCGGAGTTACCACTCCTCCTTGCGGCTGTCAGCCCACCGCCTGAACTCTGATTCAGGTGAGGTCTTCAGTGTCCAGCTCTTTCATCAGGCAGTGGGCTCCTGCCCTGATGGACTTACTCTCCAAGCACTGTAGATAACCAGAAAAGAATTTAGAGACAAGGGTTGAAGAAAGTGAAGGATGCTCCTTACCAAAGGCAATTCCTGTATATGACTTAACATCCTGAAACAGGCCAAAGCCCTCCTCTGTGTTCACCAGAGAGGCTGTTGCAATCCCTTCCTTCTGGAGCAGGGCTATACAAATCATTAGAATTGAGGGAGCTTTTCAAATAGCCTTCTGCAAAACCACTGGGGCTTTTTAGGAATGTATTAGAGACTCACTGTGAGGACTGAACTTTAACCACCAATTCCACTCCAACACTTCAACCCAAACAGTGCTACCTGGAATTATTTCCTGTGTTTTAATTTCTTTTTCTTTCTTTCTTTCTTTTTTTTTTTGGAGACAGAGTCTCGCTCTGTCGCTCAGGCTGGAGTGCAGTGGTACAATCTTGGCTCACTGCAAGCTCGCCTCCCAGGTTCACACCATTCTCCTGCCTCAGCCTCCCAAGTAGCTGGGACTACAGGCACCCGCCACCACACCCGGTGAATTTTTTGTATTTTGAGTAGAGACAGGGTTTCACTGTGTTAGCCAGGATGGTCTCAATCTCCTGACCTCGTGATCCACCCACCTCGGCCTCCCAAAGTGCTGGGATTACAGGCGTGAGCCACCGCGCCCAGCCTGAATTTCTTTTGAGCTTTTCACAAAAAAAAAAGAAAATTTAGTCTGGCTCAACCATTTTATTTTATTGGATAAAGAAATGAAAGTTGAAAAAGCAGTGACTTGTCCCATGTCATAGGGCCATTAAGTGGCAGAACTGGGACTAGCACTGGGATCCTTTCATTTCAATCCTGGACTTCTCACCATGGCATTATGTTAGGTGTGTTATTATTTAGTTCACAGAAATTTCTTAATTCCCTTCTGCTGGTGCCACCTTTCCCTCAAAAAGTTACACAGCCATATTTATGATACAGAGAGTTCCTGAGCCATATTGTTAACCAATATCCTATATTGTGTGTAGCATAAATAGAAACAGAATAGACTGCATTGTTTGACATATGTATCTCTACTGGCACCTTGCAAACTTAGCTGCTTACAAAATAGGTAATTTGTTAGCCTGCCTTTCTCCCCTGCTTCCCTTTCAGATCATCTTTTGACATACCTGGAGAAGCCAGGATTCTTTTAGGGGCCTATCTTTGTTCAGGCTGCTACAAGAAATTCCCACAGACTGGGTGGATTAAACAACATGTGTTTGTCACGGTTCTGGAGGCTGGTAAATCCAAGACCAACGTGCCAGCAGATCTCTGTCTGCTTTCTGTTTTCACATGATGGAGAGAAGAGAGAGTGGAAGCAAGCACTCTCAGGTCTCTTCTTATCAGAGCACTAATCTCATAATGGAGGCCCCACCCTCATGCCCTGCCTCCTAACACCATACCATCAGGAACAAGTTAGGCCTCAACCTTTGAATTTGGGTGGGGACAGAAACATGTGGTCCATCTGAGGGCCCAACCTCAGGCTGTGATGGGATACTTGGAGAGAAGTCCCTTCATCATCAGTGGTCAGAGTAGGCAGTGTTATAACCAAGTGCTTTTGTCACCTCTCACAGGCCACAAGTCTGACACTCACCGCTCAGGGGGCAGGGAGCGAGGACGATCAAAAGAGCGAAAGCATCTTCTCTCTCCTGATGTCTCCCGCTGCAATTCAGAAGAGCGAGGGACCCAGGCTGACTGGGAGTCCCCAGAGCGCCGTCAATCCAGGTCACCCAGTGAGGGCAGGTCACAGACGCCCAACAGACAGGTGAGCACAGAGAGGAAGCCAGTCTACAGCAGAAGGACAGGGGAGGGTGGGCTGTATAATTACATGCAAGTCGTGGGCATTTAGCAAACACATTCAAGTACCCACAAAGACTGGAATTTCACAGGAAGCTTTACCTATAGTGCGTACAGGTTAGCTGCTCAATGCTTGTGTACTCAGAGATTATCTGAATTCACAGAAAACCAGATTTCCCCCAAGGAAGATGGTGTCTAGAGGTCATTCCATTCCAGCCTTCGGAATCCAGAGATATAAATAGGTTGACAGATGTCTCAGCCAGATTTTGGAGGACAGGATGGTCCTTTAGCCAGAAAGCTTCCTTTGACCATCTTGTGATCCTCAGTATTTGTGAGAATGGTGATTCATCTCTCAGCCCAGGATTCACAAGTCAGAGCAGTTCACCCTCATTTACCTAGCTTCCAGCTGTCCCAACAAGACCATGCCTTTTGCTGAACCACCAGCCTGGTGCATAAGGAATAACTGTCAGAGCTGTATGAGAACATTCATCAACTCTGTGTTACTCCTCCTCACCGTAGCCCTATCTCTAGTCATGGCACTTTGACCCATAATAGGAGACCCCCTCAACAGAAATGATCAGTGGAGAAAAGGCAGGGCTGCTAATGCAGACCTTTGGAGACACAGCAGCTGAGAGGTTTCCCTTCTAGAACAACAGTTTTCAAATTTTAGCGCAGAACAGCATTAACCCATGAAGTTTACTAGCACTGCACATTCCTGGGGCCTGAAGGATTCTAGTGAGACCCAGAAATCTGCCTTTGAAAAGACCCCTACATAGGATTCTGAGCGGGAGGTTTGTAGGTCACACATACCTTAAGAAATGCTCTCTTGGAGGTTTACTTCCCAAAACCTGGGCTCAGTTTCCCTTGGGAATAGGTGAGGGCAAGTATGGCCTGAGCCAACAACTGCATGTATCAGGTCCAGAAGTTGAGTTCAGCAAACCACTGAAGACACGGGTGGGAATAAGGGTTTCCCAGACAGAGCAACTCCAGCGTTTGTTCACTTTCCACAGAGTTGTCTTTCTCAAGTTTGAAGTCTCTCTTTTAGTGTGCCCCTTGTTACCTATGTAGAGCTTCCTTAGTAGTCCAAGTGCTTGTTCCACGGACCTGCCACCCCGGCATCACCTGGAAGCTTGTTAGAAACGCAGACTCTCAGGCCTCACCCCAGATCTTCTGAGCCTGCATCTGCAGTTTAACCAAATCCCCAGAGGTCTGTATGCTCATTAAAAGTCTGAGATGCCCTGGTCTAAATGTTCTTGACTCCTTAATCTCTTCAATCCTTGTGTCCCTGAGTGGATGTGAATACTACAGGGAGCTCCAGCGCAGGCCTCTCCCCCATAGAATTCAGACTCCAAGGACTCTCTTAAAAGAGTTGCAAGTAGGGATCATGCCAAGCCCAATCTAACACGCCATGTCTCTCCTGCTATCCAGGGCACAGGTTCCCTAAGTGAGAGCTCCATCCCCTCTGTCTCTGACACCAGCACCCCAAGAAGAAGTCGTCGGCAGCTCCCGCCCGTCCCACCAAAGCCCCGGCCCCTCCTTTCCTACAGCTCCCTAATTCGACACGTGGGCAGCATCTCTCCACCTGCTGACGGAAGCGAGGAGGGCTCCCCACTGACCTCCCAAGCGCTGGAGAACAACAACACTTGCCTGACCGAGTCTTCCAACTCCCCGCACCCCCGGCAGGGCCAACATGCCTCCCCACAGCGCTACATCTCCGAGCCCTACTTGGCCCTGCACGAAGACTCCCACGCCTCAGACTGTGGCGAGGAGGAGACGCTCACTTTTGAAGCAGCCGTGGCTACTAGCCTGGGCCGTTCCAACACCATCGGCTCAGCCCCACCCCTGCGGCACAGCTGGCAGATGCCCAATGGGCACTATCGGCGACGGAGGCGCGGGGGGCCTGGGCCAGGCATGATGTGTGGGGCTGTCAACAACCTGCTAAGTGACACGGAAGAAGACGACAAATGCTAGAGGCTGCTCCCCCCTCCGATGCATGCTCTTCTCCCACATGGAGAAAACCAAGACAGAATTGGGAAGCCAGTGCGGCCCGGGGGGGCGGAAGAGGGAAAAGGAAGATGGAAAGACACCATGCATTATCAGAGAAGAGGAAGTAAAGGACAATCGGAACACCAAACCCACCAAATTGCTTTATTCCCCTTTGCAAGATGGGCACTGCCATAGTTCTGCCTCTTTGCTGGGGAAAGAAAACAGGAACGTGGAGGGTTATTCCTGCAGGAGAAGGGACATGAGGATGGCTTTGCTTCCCCTTGCCCCTTCCCACTTTTCTAAAAGCTGTGGAGGGATCTAGCTGGCCTATGTCTACACTCAGTGCCCTGAGAAGCCTGGAAGACTTTCTGGCTCTTAACTGGGGAGTAGTGGAGACCATAGGAAAGGACTCTCCTCCCTCACCAGCTCTTACGCCTCAGCCAGCACCACTGCCACCAGGGCAACGCAGCAGCATCTCACGCATAACCCTGTGGCTTTCTTCCCCCAGGGCAGCACAGGCTAAGTCAGGAACATCGGATACCAGGGAGGGAGGAGAAAGCCGAAGCGAAAGGGGTCAGTGTGCTGAGGCAAGCAGCAAGGGCTGGTCTGGATGAGAAAAGCCATAGCCCGGCAGCCCCTACCATGAGGGAGACGGTCAGAGAAACTGGTGGTGCTGGGGGGTATAGCCCCCCATCCTTGAGGCCTGTCACTCACAGTAGGTGCTGAGAGTTAGTTAGGACAGGTCAGGAAGTTCCCCAGGGTCCACAACGGTGCCTAAGGCTCTGGTAAGGGTGAAGGTAAAAGTATTTAACAACTGCTGTGGCATCAATGTAAGTGGAGTTTGGTCGTAGTGCTGGAGCCCACGCTGTTCCAGGCATTGGCTCTTTAGATGCCAGTCATGGGGAATGTGGGTAGAGTAACAGGGGCTGCCTAATGGACTCAAAACAGAGTCTGTTTTCCAACCAGTGTGGGAACAATTAAATATGCGCAACAGTGCTACGGCCACACCAGCACCTCCTGGCTGAACGTCAGCCCACACTCTGGTCCGTGAGGCAGCAAGGCCAGTGCTGTGCCAAGCCCAGTAAGGCCAAGTGCCAGAGGCCCAGCCTTCCCTGCCACTCCTCTGAGAGGGCAGAACACACATATCCAAGTAGGCTACCCACCACTGGGTAGGGACTTCTGTAAAGATGGGAAAGGCGGATAGATTGAAATAAGCTTCTAGGAAAGTCTGGATTTACTGAGGACCTCCCATGAGGCAGGACCATTGGGACCGCAGCGTCTGCAGCTGGTGTGGGGTTCAGGTCAGTTTGTCAGGATGCTTTAAGGTGATTAGTAAATATACCTCAGCTTAGACCTGGGCTGCTCCTTCTAGGAAAGTGGGCTCCAGTGGGGCCTCATCATATGGGATGATAAGACTGGGGCCCTGGTCACCTTGAATATTCCCCTGGGCCAAGATGGGGCTTCACCCCTCCCCAGAGTAAGAGCTGGGGCTGACAGTGCCACCCTGTCATTCCTAACTGCCCAAATGCAGAAGCACTGAGCAAGAGAGCCCTTTCTTGCCAAGCCAGTGCTCTTTTGGTACATGGCATACAGCTCCATTGGAGGGCACACATCACTGGCTTTATCTGGTGGAAATGTACCTTTCCCTTAAGTTCTTCTTTAGTGCCATCACAGCAGGGGAAAGGACGGGGCCCTCCTTCCCCCCCACCCCCACAGGAACAGATGGAGCCTGCCACCCAGGATCCTGATCTGCCCTGCACTGAGCACTCAGTGGATAAACACTCTTCTCCTCTTGGGCAGGAGAAATCCAGAGCTGTTATTTTTCTTAGAAGGAGCCTCTTTTTCCCCTATTTTTTAAATTGAAATATATAATAGCTGCATCAACCCTGAAAAGCCAAATTCAACCACATGGCTGGAGAATCATTTGTCATGGCCCTGCCTTCTCTTCTGATACTGATGGAGCTTCATGACCCATGGTCAGCCCCCAAACCAAAGCTGTCCCAACAGAGGAGGCCAGTGAGGCAGAGACAGAGCTCTCCCACTCTCAGACCCTCTTTCGTCTTCATTTTCCTCTCCCACTTAGCACGTGTGTGCTTGAGGGTGGCTGGGAATGTGATATACAGTACCCTGATCCTAACAGGTGTGATCATTACATAAGACGCTGATGCTGGGCCTTGTTTTGTTTTTAAAGTTTCCTCTGCTCAGTGTCATTTCATGCCAAAGTGCTGCTATGGGCTGCTTTGTGTGTATGAAATTGCTTTTTCCACTTCGGAAATGCAGCTTTCCCTAGGGGAAGGCCTACAACAGGACGACTATTCTGAGCCAGCGAGTCTATTGCATGGTGTTTTGAGAAAGGGAATTGTAGTGATACCTTATGCCATTTCAACAGGAGAAATGCAGGCTGGCAGAGCAATTACCAGAAATGGAATTTGCCTGCAAGTAGTATAAACACTAAATTTACTGTGCCAGGAAACCTTCCTGAACTCCTTGAACTCATACACACAAGTATCTGAGTCCTGAATAAAGTGTTGGAAGCACTGCGGATGCAGTCACCTGACTGACCACCTGGTTTTTCTATTACCAGTGAATTTCTTTTATTCACCTTCCCTTGACCAAGAAATTGGGTTTCTTTTCCCTCAGCCTGCACTTACTCTTCTATTAAGACCAGAAAATAAAATAATTTTCTGTTGAGTCACAAACTCATCATCATGTTTGGTTTTCTGCTGCCTCTGAACAAAAGTGAATGCCAGCCTTCCCTTGCTAGGTGTCAGAGCCTGCCTCCCTTGAAAAGAGGCCCATGTAGACCCCAACACCTGTTCTTTTCTCTGGTTAATTACAGCAGCATCTTGAGAAATTCCATGCAAAAGAAGACTACAACCAGTGTTTGAGATATACCACAAGATCAAATTTGGGCACTGGCGGTCCCCTCAGAAGACTCTTGAGTCATATGTTCAGTTTATCTTGCTAATATATGACTTGTCTTCACCATCTCCTCAAAACAGAGTGAAGCCAAGATAGAGGAAGGTAAAAGGAGGAAAGAAAACCAAGGCAGGGAGATGATGTTCTAAGTAGATTGGCGTTTAGATATCCCTCATTTCACTTAAGGCTCCAGACAGACTCCAGGTAGGGAATGCATGTCTGTCTCTTTCTCTGTATCTTTCTCTGTGTCTGTCTCCCCATCTCCTAGAGGACAAAGTGCCAGCGACCTTTGGACAGGGGCAGGGCTCCAGCCAAGGTGCCCCTGAGCCAGGGTCAGCATAGAATTTCCTGCCCCGTGAAGGGCTGGCGCTGGCTAGCATCCCCTTGGCTCCACGTGAGTCATGAACACAATTGTCAGTGGGGGTCTGTGCTGCTCTTCTAGCTGAAGAATCTGTTTTTCTTCTGGGCTTCACTTGTAGTCCCCACTCAATGTCTCCATAGGGCACTCAGATCACCAAGAACACTGCCCAGAAGCTAAACTCCAGATATTCTAGATTTTGACCTCCCTTGACTCGGGCCACAAAGAGAAGACCCCATAATCCATCTCTCAGCCAGTATCTCCCTTCCCTGCACAGATTCCCCCCGACCCCATAGAGCCTATGTGGTGAGCATGAGGGTCGTCTTCCCTCTGTTCTCCCATCTCAGCCTCCGTTTTGCTGCATGTTAGCACTGATCCTTCCACCCAATCCAAGCTTATTTGCTTGCCTGACTGACTCCACCACTCTCTCAGCTATTGGGGAATGCTGCATTCTAATGAAATAGGATTTGGAACTCACCTGGTGCTCCTCGCAAGACGACTGACACGCGGTGTAGGGTGTGGGGGTGGACATAATGCCCACCCACTGGATAAAAGCTCATGGCAGGAAAATGAGGTCTCTCCTGGCATAATGGAACAAAAATCTCAGATAATCTTGATTTTTAAAAAGTTCTCCATTTTTCATTACATCCTACTTCTCAGCCCTCTGGATGTTTCATTTTTTTTGGACAGAGTGTTTCTTTAGTGGGTGGGGCCAGGGACAGGTTGAGGGATATTTCTCAGCTCATTTATAAGACGATATAAATATTATGAGGTTGTATGTAAAGAAAAAGCAAATGTATAGCAGAAGGGGAGCAGATAGATAGCTACCTTTCAGGGATTTTGAGACTTGAAAGGTAAGGAATTTTTACTGCTATTTTTGTTCATCAGTTTCACGTCTGTTATGTTTTGAGATCCTCAGAAGCCTAGGGCTAGTATATGCCAAGAATCCTGGTGAGAGGCGTTGCCATGCCTTGGGGTGAATTCTTCTCCACTAGCTCTCTCACCCAGCCTGCAAGTTCTTCCCTCATAGATCCCAGAGCAATGGGCACCGTCCAGGGGGTACAGGAGAGGACGTTATGATGCAGGAAAGAAGGAAGAAGTGGGTCCCTTGCAAGTGGCCAGAGAATGATGGTTTGACTCCAGAAAGAGTCTCTATGGAATCAGGTTCGGGTTTGGATAACTTCTCTTTAAAATATCTCCACACTGAGACTCTTATTTTAACAAAATCCAAACAAAATTAACTCAGGGCTTATGACCTAACCTTTGTAAGAAGGTGATCAAAGAGATCCCACATTAATAAGCACTGCCTACAGCAGCAGCTTTGCCTTTTTGTCTTTTGCTGTTTCTTTTCTGAACCACCCTGTACATCATAGCCAGGTCTACCCCAAATAGAGCAGCAGCTGATGGCTTCTCTGCTGTCTGAGGAGGGAGGGCTTGGCTGCAGAGCAATGGTGTTTTGTCAGCTGTTAGGTGCTACAGCCCACCCAGTCAGAGTACATAGAGTACATAGCGCTTTAAGGGACAAAGGAAAAAGAACAGAACTATCTTTGCTTTCCGGAGGCCATCTTTTTCTTTCCTTGAATCCCTTGTGCTTTAACCTTCTGAGGTTTATGCATCCCAGAGAGGTCACACCAAGCCAAAGAGAACAAATTCATAGATTGTCCCAACCTACCCAAAGGGCCTGAAAATCCTCTCTGAACAAAACTCAGGACAGTTGAGAAGTATGAATCGGGCTCATAGCAAAGTCCAATTGATGGCTTTTGAGGCTGGGGCATCCCCAAACTGCCCTTCTATTTTTGTAGTTTTGCTTTCTTTTACCCACCCTCTCTCCGCATGCTATAAGTAGAGGAGTTAGAATCTTGACCTTCTAAATGCAAAAGGAGATTTTATAATCCATGCTACCTATAAATACATTATTGAGGTTTGTATTTTTATTTTTGGAGGTATGAAAGAGTTGAGTAGAGCAAGTCAAAAGAGGTGTGGGGATTTATGTTTATTTTTATTTGTTTGGGGTTGTTTGGTTGGTTGCTGGGTTTCTTGTAACAGACCTATTATGGAATAGTAAAGAAGGATACCTTTGTGATCTGCAATGTTTCTGAATCTGTTTCTCTTTAGGAAGTGATTGCCATCAAATTTAGTGATATGACATTTGAGTCAAAAATCTGAGGTTATAGTACCATCTCTGTCTTTTCTCTCTGGTCTCCTTTTTGTCGTCTTTCTCCTTCTGTCTAAATTGGCCTCTGTCTTTTTCTAAGGACATAACATATAACCCAAATTAATGAAAAACTGCCCTAAAACTTCAGTGAAAGCCAAAGAGATACAGAATTTTTTCAGGACATCTTTAACCAATACAAAATTTATGTCTTAATAGGAAGGTAATTTTTACAATAGTGTAGTAATCTGATAAATGAAAACTATTGGAAGTCAATGGTTTTTTATGTTCCAGCTTTCTGTATTCAAACTTGTGCCTTCAGCAAGCATCTCTTCACTTTCTTTCCCTTGTCAACTGAAATATGAATGTTTGGCTAACTCATGATGTAAAGTGTCTGTTAAGTTAATAATACATAATTTAAAGTACTTAGTCTCCACAAAGCAATTTTAAAAAACCTTCACTTGTTAGATCCCATGAAGTACCTATGAAATTCTCAGCATTGCTATAAGCATTTGATTTTTTTTTAAAGGAAACTTTCTGTTTAATGGAATATGAATCAGGATTTGCTTTAATTTCACTCTGTTCTTCCTATTTTCCCTTATTCTTCTTGTTATCTAATTTTGAAAAAAACCTAGACTTTTTTTTTCTTTTTCAATCCAGAAAGTTGGGTTTTCATGATCTGAGCTTCCTTGTGTCATCTTCTCTTTGTGCAAACTTAAGCCAGTCATAGATCGTCACCCAGACATATTCTCCAACCCAACACTGGAAATCTGAATGAATCTTTTCTCTTTTTGTCCTACGAGTTTGTCAGAGATAAGAATGGATTGCTGTCTACATTCTACAACCAGACCCTAGACTTTACACCAGGCTGTGCCACTTCCTCTTCACTTCACTCAGAGGATGGCCCCAAAACTGAAAAGGAAATGAAACCATTCAAATATACCAAGTCTGAATTTGACTTGATTTGATGACTCAGTTTTCCTTCCAGTACTCTGATTTTTTTTTATGGCAATGGCCTATATGGCACAAGAACCCACCACTTAAAGCAAATCTGTTAAACATTTTTATAAGGGATGAGCAGGAAAAACATACTCCAAAATTTTAAAGTGCCATTAATCAATTTTTAAAAATAAAGGTACTATGAAATGAGGGCTAAACAATGTAATATAACTGCCAGTTAAGGTAGACAGTAGTTGTGGTCTTAGTTACATTTGATATGGAGTTGTATAATATTAGGCAGATCCCAGTGGAGTTAGTAAAAACATAGGTATTAAGTTTTAATGGCTACCAATTGGGATATATACTTAGCCTGCAGGCTGAACTTTAGTCAGTGTTTTTCTATCCTGGTGTTTTGTGAACCAGTCAAAAGTTATACAAAGCCACCCTAACTGCTGCAATTGCAGAGGAACTTGCCCTCTTGGTGATATTAGAGGGCAGTCCAACTCCACTCAAACTGAGTCCAAGATTTGAATTCACCCAGAAAAACAAATGGAGGAGAAAAGCCTAATTCACTAGATGTGTTTGGCATTTCATGGCTGGGACAATGGAGTAGAGGGTAGGAAGACAAGCTGTAGAACAAAAACAAAGTGAGGTAGAAAATAACAGGTCCCAGAAGGGGACAGACTTAAGAGATGTGTAACCTTGGATCCTCTTTTTCACTTAGATTATGGGTAAACTTCTTAGCACAAGACTGGATTCAGAGAAGTTCTTTCTGTTAAACTCACCTAGGGTAGTGGATTTGAAGGCCTCAGAGGATTAATAGATTCCCAAAATTCTCTTCCAGACCTGAGAGATGGAGGGAAAGAGATTCTTGCTTTAAAGCAGCTTGAAGACAATCTTTATGACTTTAGCAACTCTTCAACATAGTAGCACCAATAATGGAGAGATTATATTAACTTCCTAGTGGTGAGAATACCATGGGATGGGAGAAGGGCCAGTGAGTGGGACGGGGATGAGCTTCATCAGGAACAGATTTCAGACTCTGCAGGGTGCACCGGTTCTAGCCTCAAATAACAACATTGCAAGGAGGTGGACTACAGGGTCCACACCCTCTGTCCTTTGGGGCCCATGGTCAGGCCATTCCCTCTTTGTTTTGCTCCTAGAGGATGAGCATGTAATATGAGATCAGGAGGGAAATTGGGTGCTCTGCCTCAGGCTGTTAAAATGCTGCTACCTGCATTCTAAAACGTGCAAGTCATGCCCCACAAGACACCTCCTTAGGGCAGCATCCACTGTGGTGTGCCAGCCTGACACCCCTGCAGTCACGGTGT